GGTGTATACCGATGTGGCTTTGTCCACAACAGCTCCCTTGGCCAAGTCCAGAGCCATGGCGTGTGCAAGGGCACAAATTCATCATTATTCACTGTGGGCCACCGGTGTAGGCGAAGGGGATAAAGCTGTTACATATTGGTAACAGTGTAAGACAGGGTGTCTGGCAAAAAAAAAAAAAAAGGCGGAAGGAAAGTGCTTCATGAGCAGAGCTCTAGGGGCTAAGGGAGTGCCCCCTTCCCTTCCCGTGGGTTTGAAAAGTTAGAGCAGGGAGCAAGGCACGCAGGGGACCAGAAAGAAGGGAGATGTAGAGATAGTTTCAGAGTCTGCATCTGGGCAAATCAGGGTCAACAGAAGCCGAGGAGGCGTCTCTGGGGACAAAGAGGAGACTCTCTGACAGGAAAGCACTGGGAAGGCAAATGCGGGTAGAGAAAGTCCCATGGAAAGTCACAGTCCTTAACAGAAAGAGGTCCCTGGGGGAGAGGGGAGGTGGGGGCGGGGTGTGACAGTAAGAGCAGCCAGCAGGACTCCCTCTGGAATGTTCCTTGCAACAGCTTCAGTCTCAGGAGGCAAGCAAGCCCACAGTTAAGTGGGGCTCAAAGGGGAAAGGCATTCACAATGGAAGCATAAGCCATCAGGTGGGGGATGGGTGGGCGGGTGACAGGGCAGACTGTGGAAGGATGAAAGTCAACTCCTCTTCACCATTTTACACTCTCTCAGCCCCTCCTCCTGATCTGCCTTTGTAGTTGAGAAAACACTGTCCAGAGATGCCTAGTTACTTACCCAGGGACACACAGTATCAGAGTCTTAGCTGAGAATTGAACATAAATCTTGACAATTCCCCATCAGTCCTCAGCACTCCATATTATCACAGAAAGACCAGTAGCCCTGACTAGGAGTCCTCCAGGGCTCCTGACTCCCCCTCCCAGGGAACGGAGCACAGAGTGTCCTACTGCCTAGCTCCTGGCTCCTTACTCTAGCATACTTCCAAGGGCTGGGGGGTGGGGGTCACTGGACCTCCCTGGCGTGTGAGTGTCCAGTAGATAGCATCTGTGGGAAATACAATACCTCTGTGTCAGAGCAGCATGCCAAGCCCCGCTGGGGAATGGGAATTTGCTAGCCAGGGTAGGAAGACCCTGGAGGAAGCAGATGGAAAGAGCCCAGGGACAGCGGATTGCAGCCCAGCAGAGCTGAGCTCTGGCAAGCAGCCTTATTCATATTTGAAGAGAGGAACTGGATGCCGGTCATGCTAAGAGCTGGGAGGGAGGGCGTCTTGCCATCACAGCCACTCTCAGCAGCCTAATGAGATGGAGGAAAGAGCCCCAGAGAAAAGACAGGAGGTGGAGGGGCAGGGAGCAGAGGAGGGAGGAGGGGCAGGGAGCATCAGGGTTGGTGGAAGAGCCACTGAGTTTGCTTTCAGATATGATTCTCAGCTTTCTGGGATGTCTGGGGAGAGCATGGCTTCTCCATTACCTCATGTACGTGAAGATAAAGGTTAGGGTGGGGTGAAAGGGCTCTGAGGCCCATCTACAATTCCTCTAGCAAAGGGCTCACCCCAGGGGTTGAGGCATTAAGCCTGTGTGAGACATGACATTGGTTACTGTAGCTTCTGGAGTAACTACAACAGGGCCCTGGCAGAGAATGCTGTATTGAGGCTCACAGAATCCCAGGTGAGAACCTCACAGTAAAGGCATTCTCCAAGTGATTACAAGCCTAGGTGTATCCCACATGGCCCTAGGATGCTGCCTGCCCCCAGCCCCATAATGGAGTAGGTTACCCATGACAGACAGAGCCAGGAAAAATGGGCTCCCCCCCCCATACACATACACACATTTAGAATAAAAGCCAAAGCTTGGTTTGCTAACTAGGAAATCCATTTTCCATAGACAGCAGTCCTGGGATCATTCCTACCCCAGGGCCTTTGCATTTGCTGATGATCTACCTGGAAGACTACTTCACAGAGATGCACACAGGCTGTTCCTTGGATTCCTGGAGGTCTTTGTCTGGCTCCCTATTTAACAGCATCATCTCCGGCTTTCTCTCAGTCCTGGGATGCATGTGGCCCACAGGCTGCTGGGCGATTGCCTAATGAGTATATGTCAATGACTGAACAAGGCTAATTTGTTCCTGTTGCTGTCCAACAGAACCAGATGTCATTGTTTGCAAATTGGGTTCAAAATTCCCTGGAAAGAGACAGCAGCTTTTGGGGTCTGACTTCAAATACTAGACAAGTAAACAAGAACAATGACTTGGCACCTGCTGTATGCTCTGTCTCCATTGGCTAAGGGAAGGAACATGCGAACTAAAGTATCAGTCCTTTGCTAGGACTGATTGGGTGGGGTCTGAGTGCTCAGGATCATGGGGGGGGGGTAGCTGAAGTCTGGGCCATAACAGGGGGCTGCAGGCAGGAGGTACTTTCTGGAGAGAAGGGGCCATTCTGAAGGACAGGCTCTGCAGGCTGAATGGTTTGAGGAGGTGGCACCCAGTTGAGTGACTGGTAAGCCAAGGCCATTGTGGCCTGCCTCCTCTTCAGCCTTATACTCCAGATCATCTCAAACAGCCCAAAGATAAGGCCACATTACAGGGGCCTTCGTCAGAGACCGTCTCTGTGGTCCAGGAAGAGGCCACTTTGGGCCTGGCTTCAGCCTAACCTGCACTAAACCTAATGCAAGTAGTGTGAATTGGATGAGGTTGAAGAACTCTGCTGGGCTCAGTGTGGCCACCAGTGAATCCGACCCTTTCCTCTCAAACTGCTGGGAAGTCTGTCATGGGAGACTCTTGGCCCTGTGACGGAAAACAGAGCCCTGCTACAGACTCCAGGTTGTAGCCTCAGCTCCGGGAAGCCAGGTCCTTTCAGGGATGTTTTCCATGTATGAGACACTGGCCAAGGTACCCACTCTGTCCCAACTCCCATCTTCAAAAATGCAACCTCTGGGCCACCCGGGGTGTGTGTGTGCAGGGAGTAGGACTCAGCACCTCTAAACCCCAGCCCTTCCGCATCTGGGGGCTAAATCGTGACGGCTGTGGACCACACCTGGCCTTTCCTTTTTCCACACTTCAGCAGCCTTCCTTGGTCTGCACTGTGACTGCCTTAGGGTCCGCATGCAGCAAGAAAATAAGGATTTAGCGCCTCCTGTTGGCAAAGCCAGGCTATGTCTGAGTGATCAGAGGTGATGCCCCCTCCTTCCCTCCCCGCCCCAAAGAGGAGACTCCCAGCCAGCAGTTTGTGGCAAGTTATAAACAAAGGATTTTTTTTTTTTTCTCTAGGAAACTCTTCCTTCTGCTGCCAACACTCGCTAAGGACACAGATTGTTTAACTCTGACGTTCTCGTCTTCACTCATTAATCAAAATACAATACAATACAATATAGACGAGTGTTAAACAAACATACCATTTGATCCCTTTCTCTGTGTCTTTGGACCTCGGGGCAGAGAAGCCAACAGTCCACACCTCAGATTTGCCTTAGGGCATCCACTCACGGCCCACTCACTCCTCCGTTTCCTCACACGGTATTAGCTGCCGTTCCTATCACAAACCTTGAGACAAATGACTTTGGGAAGACCAAATGTTTATTTCCATGCATGGTTTGGAAGGTTTCAGGCCACCATTTCTTGGCCATGTTAATACTGGGCTAGTGACCAAGCAGCATTTCTCAGTGGGGAGCAGCTGGTACAGAGAAAAAAAAACACAGACAAAGGTCCCAGGGCACTTGCATATACTCATGTACTGACACTCACACATCACCCCCCCACACACACACACGCAAGATCAACAGCACAGCTTTAGGAACCAACCATTTAGGCTTAGGGGGAAAATTTCAAATCCAAACCGCAGTGATGACTGAGCTTCAGTGAGCCAGTCTTCCTCAGACAGACAGCAATACACAAGACAGCCGAAGGCATCTCCCCTTAGGGGTTTAGACACGGGAGCTGGAAAGAAACAACTCAGAGAAATGAGTCAGGCGTGTTGACCATTAAAAAATATTTAATGCTACTTTAAAAATGAAAGACATACTGAGGAGGAAAAGCTGTCCTGTGGCAAGAGCGTGGGCAGTCCAGAGTCCTGGCCCCCCTCTAGACCTACTGCCTGGGCACCCTGGCTGTACCCCAGACATTTTTTTTTTCTTTGAGACAGGGTCTCACTATGTAAAACAGGATGCACTTGAACTCAAGGAGACCCACATGTCTCTGCTTCTCAGGTGCTGGGATTAAATGTGTGTGCCACCATGCCTGGCTGGTTTTTCTTTTAATGAGAACAGGGACCCGGGTATTCTGGGAGGTTAGCCTCCCTTGGGTCCACCACCGCTCTTGGTCTGTCAAGGCTAGCTCAGGCACAGCTGAGAGGCGTTCATGTAACTCCTCTGCCCTGTCGTGTCAGCACGCATGTATCTCCACGCCACCTGAGAGGCAGAGTTTCTGACCTCTGTCTTTAGCAAGGAGAAAGGGGAGGCTTGCCGAAGCCACAGGACAGGAGGCCCTCAGTCCTGGCTGGGCCTTAGGGGATGGTGCCTGAGATTCCTGGAGCTTCCTCTCAGGCTTCCTTGTGCAGTGGTCCCTCCTGTCCTGCTTAACACCACACCAGCCTGCTGTCACTTTTGGCTTCAGAAACGTGGAGGAACCATAGGCTCCTTTGTGCTTTGAACGGGCCCCTCTTGCTCTGGCGACCCTCAACACTCTGAGTACCTGATTCACCTGGATTCTCACCTGTGCACTCGGCCGAGGCTCTAGTGCAGAAGCCCTCACAGTTTGCGAATTCTGCAGGTGATGCCAATACTCTTCATATTTGCTTCAGCTTGACACTCCACCGAGCCAGTTCTTTGGAATGATGCCAAGGCCGTTTTAGGTAATAGGAAGCTCCTGGCAGAGCACTCTAGAAAGGAAAAGAAGGCTGGCATTACCATTGAGAGCCACCTTAAAAGAGAAAGGAGGTGGGCAGTGGAGCAAGCTTCCAGTCCCTGAGGCAGACACTTCCAGCAGGCGTGAGGACTTTAGACTGCACAGAGATGAGTGAAAGAAGAAAAGAGGGTAAGTCGGTAGAAGACAAAAACTGTGGGATGTGGAAGGAGTAGGAAATTTGGGCCACGGACCCCTGGCGCTTTAAGGCAGTGCGGGAGGGTTATGGTCAGCTGGCATAGACATAACATTGTAGCAACATTATTAGTAAGGTTGGGGCTTGAGAACTGGGCAAGGAGGTTACAGGAAAAAAAAAAAAAGCCACAGCAATCTCTAGTATTTTAAGTTCTGACTCTGTGTTGGGTTACACACATGTGCTCGGACACATAGGCACATTAACTACAGGCTGGCGTGCTTGGAACCTTCCCTGACAAAAGCATCCTACTCGTGTGATCTGGTAGGCTCAATTCATTCCTTTGAGCCTCTCATCTGTAAAGTGAGACTTGGGGTACCATCTCAAGGGACAGACCAGGTGAAACCTAGGAGAGCCCTACAGTAGCACTGAGCCAATTCCTGCCTGGCTTCCTCTCCCCCTCCTTTCCTGCTTCCTGGTGCCCTGAAACTCACAGAACAGGGCTGTCCTGCCAGCAGCAGCCTGTCTGAGCCTGTTTTAGTGGACATGGAAGACCGGTATAGATTGGAAGGTAGGTGAAGGCAGGCTAGGGACACTGAAGCGAAGATATAGCTGAGGGGGTTGGAGCAGAGAACTGATGAACCCCAATACTAACAGTTTGGGGTTAGGCTTTAGGGACACCATTTCTTTGTGCTACAGAATTATATATGATAGAGGTTTCCTATATAAAACATCTTGGCAGAGATCCCAATTCTAAGTTCCCTAGTAACCTTAAGCCATATTCACTACCTTCTTAAAAATATGTTTTCTAGGAGAACACATTTGTGTGAGCATGCTGTGTGTGTGTGTCTATGTGTGTGCAGAAGGGAGAGGTCCATGTTGAGTGTCTTTCTTTGTCACCTTCCTCCTTATTTTAGCTAGGATCTCTTACAGGGCCTGAAGCTTTGTTTTGGCTAGACTGGCTGTCCACTGAGCCCCTGAGTGTTGCAGAGTGTTTTAGCACTTTGTTTTCAGAAGCATTAGCTGCGTGTTCTCTGACTACACATCTTAGAAATAAAGACTCTTTTGGTTCTCACCGCATGACCCATCGAGCCAAAAGACCAGGAGCTTGGCTTTAATTAGCTGAGGTCTCCATGACACATAACAGGTGATTTGAATGGAAGAGAGCTTCAGGAGCTGCAGCGTTGCCTAGGGAGACTAGAAATGAAAGCCTACAGTAGCTGTCATAGCACTAATAGAAAGCCACATGAGCTCAGGATGGATGGACTGGGTATCATGGTGGAGGGTGGGGAAACAAACAAAAGGAAAGTTTTATATTCTAGAACAGAGGTTGGCAACCCTTTTCTAGGAAGGATCAGATAATAAGTAGTTGGAGCTTTGGGAGCTGGTGTGATGGCTCAGCAATTAAGAGCACTTGCTGCTCTTTCAGAGGGCCAAGTTTTGGTTCTTAGCACCTGCATGTCTGCTCACAACAACCTGTGGTTCCAATTCCAGGCAATCCAGAACCTTCTTTTGGCCTTCATGGATGCTGCATGCACTTGGCATGCAACAAACATATTGATTAAACATCATTCTCTCTCTCTCTCTGTGTGTGTGTCTGTTTTGCTTTCTCTCTCTTTATCTGTCTCTCTCACACACATATGTGTTTGTGTTGGACAGTGTGTGTTTTCAAGACAAAGTTTCTTTGTGTAGCTATGGCTGTCCTGGACTCACTTTGTAGACCAGGCTGGCCTTGAACTCACAGAGACCCACATGCCTCTGCCTCCCCAAAGTGCTGGGATTACAGGCATGCACCACCACACCCAGCTATAAATAAATATTTTAAAAGAAGGGGGCTGGAGAGATGGCCCAGAGGTTAAAAAGAGCACTGGCTGTGCTTCCAAAGATCTGAGTTCAATTCCCAGAAACCACATGGTGGCTCACAACATCTATAATAAGATCTGGTGGGCAGGAACACATGCAGATAGAATGCTGTACAAATAATTTTTAAAAATCATTTAAATAACTAGTTGAATCTCTGAGAACCAGATAGCCTCTGTTACAACTATTCAGCTCTGCCACTTGCAAAAGCGGTCACAATGAATCCATAACTAAACAAAATCAGTAAAGTACCTTTTCACTTTAAAAGGTGTATCTTGTTTCAAAACAGATACTAAGACTCATAACCAAACCTAGGCAGAGTTCAGGGAATCATATGAAAGAAGGGGAGTTAGTATGACGTGGAAAGGATAGGAGCTCCACAAGGACCAAATATATCTTGGCACAGGGGTCTTTTCTGAGACTGACACTCCACGAAAGACCATGTATGGCTATAACCTAGAACCTTTGCTCCGATGAAGCCCGTGGTAGCTCAGTAACCAATTGGTTTCCCATAGTAAGGGGAACAGGGACTATTTCTGACAGGAACTCAATGGCAGGCTCTTTGACCTCCCCACACCCCAAGGGAGGAGCAGTCCTGCTAGGCCACAGAGGAGGACTTTGCAGCCAGCCCTGAAGATACCTGATAAAACAGGGTCAGATGAAAGGGGAGGAGGTCCTCCCCAGTCCGTGGACTTGGAAACGGCAGGGAGGGAGGAGGGCGGGATTGGGAGGGAATAAGGGAGCGGGACACAGCTGGGATACAGAGTTAATAAAATGTAACTAGTAATAAAAAAATTAAATTAAAAAAAAGGTGTATCTATTTGTATGTCTGCAGACCTGTTCATGAGAGTGCATGTGAAGGTTGGAATCTAGATGTAGCTTATCTTGCTGGCCAACAAGATGTGGGATCCTCTTGTCTCTGCCTCCCCAGAGCTGTCAGACACATGCCGCCACACCTAGATTTTCCACGTGGATTCTGGGGGCTGAACTTTGATCCTCATATTCGTGCAGCAAGCACTTTACCAGCTGAGCCATCTTCCCAGTCCTCGGTTACAGTAGGATGATTTGTTTACTTTGCACTGGGATTGAACAGCAAAACTCCTTCCCTTCTCATCTAGAACCTGAAGAAACGGGTTCTGTTTTCAGCTCGAGGAGAACCTAGAAAAGGCCAGCTCTCTCCTTTTCTCCTAGAGAGGCTTACTGAGCTTGCTCAGGACATATTCTAATGGCATCAGCGTAGGATGCACCAGCAGCTGGGATGGATATGTAAGGATGCTTACACATGCTCTTGCGAGTTCTGAGCCATTTAGAGCCTAAGCCCACAACACAAGGGTTGGAGGAGCCAGTGATGAGCCTGAGAATCCGTTCTGTCCCCAGTCATGCCAGGACCCTCAGGGAAGGATATCTTTTGTTCTCTGTACTCAATCTTTCTTCCCTGTAGGCTCCAGCCAGGCTGCTGAAGCCCATGAAAATACCCAGAGTTCAAGTTCCTGGAAAGACACCCGCCCCAAACTCCAGGGTCAGCTGAAGAAATCTGGCAAAAAGAACAAAGCCTTCCTGATGATGCAGGACAAGATGCTGAAGTTGCAGCGGGCCCTTGCGGACCATCTCTTGCAGCAGGCGCAATGCCTCTCACCAGAAGATCAGCAATGCCCACAGGCCTCCTGGAAGCGGGAAAAGAGGATAGGCTACCTACTCTCCCAGACAGTCAACCTCATATGGTCTGAGGCTATAAAGAAACTGAAGTTCAAGGAATTTCTCCCTCACTTGGACTCTGGACGTGGCAACAAAGCTAGACAGCAGACCCTGTCATTTAGGCCGGACGAACCCAGTCCTTGGCTGGGTGGTTTTGAAGCTGCCTTTGTCAGCCACGTTCTGTCCAGTCGTGGGACTGGCATCTCTGATTTTTACCACTTCAACTTCCAGAGCTCTGAGGCCTATCAGACAGACAGATACCACAAAGATGAGAACCCTTCGGTAAGAGGGGGGCATTCCTGGAAGCTCTGACCACTGGGATTTGCTGAGTCCTGTGCCAAGTGCTGTGTGTTTACCTTTCTTAGCATAATGGTATAATCACAGAGCTGAAAACTCCCCAGAAGCTGGAGAACTGGGGGAAAGGGGTGTCTGAGTCCCTTTATCCCTACTACCTTTCCTTTAATTTCGGTGTTTAAATACTAGCAGCCAGTCACTGCACTCATAGTGGTAAATGGGCCTGCCTTTATGAAATGCAATATAGTGCCAGGGGTAGGCAGCCATAAGAGAAACAAGCATTTATGTTTGCAATACCATGGAAAGGATGCCCTCTCCGTCCGTGTGATCTACAGAGGCATCTGAAAAGTCTGAACCAGCCACCCTGTATGATGGTGGCTGTGGTCTTCCCTAGGGTAACAAGCAGCCAACAAAAAGTTTTTAGCCAAGAGGATTGACAGCAGCTCCCCACCCAGAGGGCAGAGTCATCCCTGGCTGTAGTCATGCTGCCTTCTGTTCCCCATCTAAGCTTTGCATGGCCAGCTAGAGACCATCTGCTATTCTAGGAACTGAATCCCATACCTCTATTCTACTGTAATGGCTGCATCTCCTTGGTAACTTGGAAGTCCCTCCAGGTGATAGCAGAGATGGGTACAGGCAGGGCTTCCGGTTGGTAAGGAGTCGGAGAGGTTATGCCTGCCATTTGTCTGGTAGATTTTCAGCTTTTCTTCTTTCCACTCTTGGTCAAATGGATGGTTTTCTCAAGACATAAGCGGTTCACGGGGTCTAACATTTACCATCAAGGTTCACAGAGCAGAGTCCAACTACTCTGATTTGTCTCTTGGGGTGGGGGTGGGGGACCTGATAACTGCAAAATGTTAGGTTCATGGGAAGTTTTCTGACACTTAACATCATTGCCAGACACCGACTGAACTGTCTTGTGGCATAGTGCAATCTTCCCATGGGCTAATCTACCATGGCAATTTCTTGGCATGCCCAAAGGGGTCCATTTAGGATGGAGAAAGATGGCTGACCTAGATTCCTTCCACTTCCAGGGCTACATCAACCTTGGTGCCAGCGAGAACAAGCTTTGCCTCGACCTGATAACAGATAGGGTAAGCAATGTTCTGGGTCTTGTTGAGAATTGACCCCTCTGGGCCCAGTTCCTGGTCTATTCCTTGGCTTGTGGAAGGTCCAGGAGGAAAACACAGGCATTGTGGGGAGAGCCAAGATACCTGCTTCTAGAACAAGACACGTAGGCCCCTGGCCTGGCTGACTGTCCAGAGAGTGGCCAGAGCTTTGGCTTAGAGAGGCTGTCAGATGTTTCCCATTAAAACACACGAGTATATGACAAGGCTAGCCTCCCTGTGAGGGAGCACTCAGGGCAGAGACTTATGCATGAACTAGGAACAAAATAAGGCCCCACTTGCCCTCCCTAAACTGCCTATCTTCATGTTCTATTTGTCAACAGCTGAGTTGGTGTGACATGAACCTCATTGATGAGACCCTGATGCAGCACTGTGACTGGAAAGGACAGCCCCTGTAAGTGACTTTCAGAACTAGGGTCTCTTGCCCACAGGCACCTTTCATCAGTCATTGGATCTATGGATATATATAGATATATATCTGTATATAGACAGATAAAATTTCCAATTATGTCTATAATCGTTGAAAGAATCGCATGTGTCACAGGCTGGCTTCAAACTGCCTATACAGCAGAGGATGACCTTGAATTCTGATCCTCTTACCTTTTTCTCCTGAGTGTGAGATTACAGGTGTATATCATGCCTGCTTTTATTGTGGTGCTCAGGATTCTATGCATGCATTCTAGGCAAGTATCTACCCCCTGAGCCATATTTCCTCTCCCCAAATGCACCATATTTAAGATCGACTTTCCAGTATTTTTGGCTAATAACCTCCAGGGAATGCTTAGAAGGCATGTCCAGCTTGAGACACAATAGTTATAAATAAGCCCCAAACAAAAATCATTATTAAAAACATTGAGAATTGTCTGATTTTTAAAGCTTGATCACATAATTCTTAAATACGAACTGTGGCGATGACAGTGTTGCATTCAGGGTCAAAAGGCTGGATTTGCCTAAGAACAAAATGTCCCAAAAGTAGCATCCAGCTATGCTTCAAACCTGGCTTCTCCCACTTCTCAATATCTGTGTGACCCTGAGAGGTCACTTCTTTAGTCTGTAGCCCTGTAAGGTGAGGTTGGCCTGGGGAGCGAAGAGCTTGTTAAGGTTGGATACTGTGCTTTTTAAAAGAGTGTCATCTGGATTCTGAGTGAGGAAGGGCACCTACCATGCTGTCTCTTTGGGTCTCTTTGGGTCTGTCTGCAGCCTTCGGAAAGAGCTGGCTAACTTCCTGACCCGCTACTGCAAGGCGCCTGTACCCCTTGATCCAGAAAATGTAAGTCAGCTATCCTCTAGGGTCCCTCTGCCTCATCTGTAGAATACTGAAAGAACCATCAAAGGGCAGGGCACAGCAAAAACCAGTTAAGGAGGGTCCTGGGTGGGGGAGGTCCAGCTAAAGGGGGACCCTGGGGCCTGCCCTTTGGGAGGAGGGAGGCGGCACATCATACCTTTCTTACACAGGTACTGATTTTTGACTTCTGTCTCTTGGACCTCGTCCTTAGGTGGTGGTTCTAAACGGCTCCTCCTCTGTCTTTTCTTCACTGGCCACGGTTCTGTGTGACCCGGGTGGTAAGTCGGCAGGCTCTGCTTGCCTTTCCTGGCATGTGGATAGGGACACCTAAGCACTGGACCTTGGAAGAGAAGTCCTGTTGGCCTGAGGTCTCTTCCCCAAGTTCAGGCCATTCTGTCCTGCCAGAGATACCTCTGTATCATTTCTGGGAAATCAAGGGAGTCAGAGCCCTCCTTTCACGTGGAAGAAACATGTAGCAGTTCTCAAAGAGGTGATCTAGATGAAAAGGCCCACAAGGCCAAGAGAATGGGAGGGAAAAGATACTTAATCCATAGGTCCAATGCTAGGAACTTTTCTGGGGCTTGACCTTTAGCCTAGTACAGATAGATTCTTTTTCTTTTTTTCTTTTCTTTTTTTTTTTTTTTTTTTTTTTTTTTTGAAGTTTGCTACAGAGGACAGCTGCTCAGTCAGGGAAATGCTTGTCAGTCAAGGACCTGTGTTTGATCCCTGGAGCCCACATAAAATAGCTGGGAGTGGTGGCATGTACTCGTAATCCCAAGGCTGCGGAGGCAGAGACAGGCAGGTCCCTAAAGAGTGCTTGGCAGCCAGCCTAGCTCTAGGTCAATAAAGAGACACTGTCTTAGCCTCCTCCAGTGTGCTTGCCAGCTATGGACTAGAGTTTGCTCCCCCAAAGAATGTGTATAAAAATGGACCACTTTTTATGGCCCTTGAGCTCAAGGATGGAAGAAGGGATTGCTACCCTTGGCTCCTTGTGTTGGGAATCTTGCTGATCATCTTGACTGGAAGACAACTTTCTCTCCTTTTGCTCCTAGATGCCTTTCTGATCCCCACACCATGCCACTGTGGCTTTGCTTTCAGCTCCTACCTCTATTCAAAAGTTGAGCTTATTCCTGTCTACTTGGAAAGCCAGGTGAGAAGGTGGCCCCTTTCTTGCTCAGCCCACAAGGCAAAGGACTGTGTAGCAGCCCTGAGGAGACAGAGGGGCCTTATTCTCTAAGTGATAGTGGGAGCAGGGCAGGTGCCAGGGTGAAGAAGCCATGTGGGGCCAACACCTTGACATGAAGTCCAAAGACTGTACCGGGCTTGTGGGCTGTGAGAAAACAGGCTCAGAAACAAGCTCCTCTCAGATGCATGTGTCTCCCAGGCCATCGGGATCAACTGGCACACTTTCCGTCTCACCGTGGAAAAGCTCGAGTTTACCCTGGCTCAGGCTAAGCTAAAGGTAAGGGCAAGCGGTTGGGGCTTAATTTCAGGATGATCACTGTTGGCCCTGAAAAGGTTGAGTAATAAGACTCAGATATAAGATATTGGGGGCTTTCCCTAGCTAGGAAAGACAGCAAGGAATTCTAAGTGGCTGACGTCACCGCAGAAACTTCCCAAAATTTCTTTTCCGCTTTGCCGGCAGTATGGAGTTGTATGTGTGAGATCCTATCCAGGCCGTTTCAGGTGTCCTATGTTAGATGTCCCAAGCCATAAAGGATGCTTGGTAGGATTTGGGGTAGATATAAAGGACTTGAATTCACCTTTGTGTTTGGATTTCTTCTCAGGGAAAAAAGGTTAAAGGCCTTGTGCTGATCAACCCACAGGATCCTCTGGGCAGTGTCTATACGGGACTGTCACTGCAAGATTACCTGATCTTTGCCAAGAAGTACGTGTTCCACCCCATCACCCGTAGGCAAGAAGTCAGAAGCAGAAGTAACACCTAGGAGCACCCATTCTGCCATAGGCCTTGCAGGGAGACTAATCAATGGAGGAAAAGAGGGCCCATTCTCACATTTTTCCTTCTCGGCCTCCTCCCATACGGATACTTATGCTGCCGTTGCAGCATGACTTTGCTGCCTTCAAACTCACCGCGGCAGAAGTACCTTATCCCAGTACCTGTTTCCAAAGTACCTGGGCTGCAGCGCCGAGGATGGCAGGTGCTCAGAGGCCGGTCACTGCAGGACTTTCAGGGTCACTGCTAAGAACAGGTTAATGACAGTTGCCTCTGGAGTCCCACAGCGGCTCTTCTAGGACAGAACTTGTTTTCTAGAAACAGTACTCAAATGTCCCAACTACCCAGACCAACCAGCAGAGAGAGAGAGAGACAGAGAATTCAGGAGGCTACCCCCAAGAACTCAATGGAGTGGAGTGCAAATTCCAGCTATCTTTGGTTGTTTTCCTGTTGCTGTTGTAATACTCTGCAAGAGGAAGGATTATTTGGGCTCGTGGTTCATGGGTATATCATGGCAGGAAGGTCAAGGTGGTAGGTGGTTCAAGGAGCTAGTCACGCTGGGATCCATGGGAAGGAGATAGCAAGAATAGTCTCCTTAGCTTTCTCTTTCGTGTGTGTGTGTGTGTTTGTGGTTCAGGACTCAAGACCAGAAAATGAGGCCACCTACTTTACAGTTGGTCTTCTTCATACATCAGTGAACCTAAATGGGGTAATTCCTCACAAGTGTGTCCAGAGGTTAGTCTCTTAGGTGATTCTAGATCCCGTGAAATTCACAATCAGTGAGCTCTGATACCTTCCTAGGTTGAAGCAACTGGCTCTCTGTTTTAAGACCTTACTTTCATCTGACATGGGGCCTTCCCTAGTGTTGTAGAGAGCTGAGGATGTGAGTGTGCTCTAAGCCCGTTTGGCGCTGTTTAGAGCCCGGGGGGGGGGGGGGGGGGGGGGGGGGGGCAGCTGCTGACTGCCACTGATGTCAACACTCCGGAGGCTTTGCCTCTTCTTCTGTGCTCTGCTTGGTGTCAAGGTGGAGTCAGCTACTGGGATACAGGAATATGTGATTTGTATCTAAGAGCAGGAAGGGAGAGTGAGTTAAAACCACAGAACTGGCCAGACGGCTCAGTGGGCAAAGGCCCATGCCACCAAGCCTGACAAACTTGAGTTTGATCCCCAGGACCTATGTGGTTGAGGGCAGAATTGATTCCAATAAGTTGTTTTCTTGCCCTCCGCCCGGAAATCATCCCCAGTATACCCACTCAGACATGGGCATGCCTCCCCAAATAAAATGTAATAATCTAGAAAACTGGAGGCAGGAAGTAGATCTGTTTTTGTTTGTTTGTTTGTTTGTTTTTTTAATCTCACCCAACTACAGGCACAACCTGCATGTGATCGTGGACGAGAGTTACATGCTGTCTGTGTTTGATGATTCTGTCACGTTTCACAGTGTTCTGAGCATAAAATAGTAAGTTTGTCCCCACTGGTGTCCAGAGAAGCGCCTCGATCTTCCTGCTTTGCAAGGGGGTTTCACGAAGTAGGAACTTGCCTGGCTAGTGCTGCAAAATGAGTTATGCATGAGTAGGGACCCTGACTATGAGCAAAGAGCAAAGTGACCTCTGTTTCCATGAGTACTGAGCCCAAAGGCCATTCTGTGTCTCAGTGATGGCTAGACCAAGGCAGTGAGTGTGTCCCTAAAGGTCAAGGGGGTGGCAGGTCAGTCAGTAAAATGCAGGCAAGAGGATTTGAATCTGAATTTCAAGAACCTGTGTAAAGGGGGCTGGAGAGATGACTCAGAGGTGAAGAACACTGGCTGTTCTCCCAAAGGTCCTGAGTTCAATTCCCAGCAACCACATGGTGGCTCATAACCATCTACAGTGAGATCTGGTCCCTCTTCTGGTATGCAGGCAGAACATTGTATAAATAATAAATAAATAAATAAATAAATAAATAAATAAATAAATAAAACTGTGTAAAAAGTCTAGCAACATGTGATCCTAGTGTTGGGGGAGACGCTAAGAGGCAAAGCCCTGCAGCCATTGGCCACACAGCTGACAGTGAAGGAGGAGCTTCTGGGTCATTGAGAGACCTTGTCTGCCATGGGGGCAGTGAGAGAGGTAGAAGTGAGACAAAAAGACACTCAGCTTTAACCTGTCTTTCACACCTACACACACACAGACACACATACACGCATAGATGGACACACACACACACACACACACACACACACACACACACACACGTTCGTATCAAGGAAAGCTACCCCCAACCTGGCCTCTTAATTCACCTGCCTCCACATCCTGAGTGCTGAAAATATAAATATGTCCCACATGCCCAACTCAAGCTTTTAGGGGTTAGGATTTGGCCATAGGGACAGGATTTCATCAGTGCAAGACAGAGGCATGCCTGCTAGAAGGAACAGAGTCACCAAAGGTGGGGCAGTAGCAGACAGGTGAGCGTGTTCTAGAAATGGGGGCAGCCCTGAAAGGGCAACTAGCAAGGAGGTGGTTTTAGACCGGATGTAGTAGAGCCACAGTCAAGTTGAGGGTCCTGGATTTCCCCCATGGGTTCCCTGTGGGCTTTTCAGGGGCACCTTGTGTTGACTTCTAGCTTAGCTACCATTGCTGTCTCTCCAACCTGGGCATGTTAGATGCTGTCTAGGAGGAACCCAAAGTCCACCCTCTCCTTTCCATCAGAGAGGTCATTATCCATCTTTCAACCATTCCTCCCAACCTTGATTTTTTTTTTAACTTTTCTAGCTGTCCTGATCCTAAGAAGATCCACATGATCTGGGGAACTAGTAAGGTAAGCCCCAGAAAACTGCCTTTGGCCTGGAAGGAAGGGGAGCCAGAAATACAAAGCAAGAAAAAGTAGATGTCCTTCCCCAACTTCTCTTCCTGCAGGATTTTGGCATGTCTGGCTTCTGCTTTGGTGTTCTTTATACCCACAACAAGGAGGTGGCCTCTGCCATGAAGGCTTTTGGCTACCTCCATGGTGTCCCCGGCATTGCTCAATACAAGCTGTACCGACTGCTCCAGGACAGAGGTACCAGGCGGGACCCTAGGAGAGCATCTTGACTGTACTTCATGGCCGTGGGGGATTGTTCAGTTTTCCGGGGGGGAGGGCGGCACATCTCTAGCATGTACTCAATCAACCTGAGGATATGTTCACTGCCTGAAGTTAAATTGTGGAGATATGAGGCTCAGAAGAGGACAGGGTAGAGATCAGTGAGTGCATGGGTGTGGCTGGAAGATTCGGGGCCTGTCTGAAACCAGATTTGGCTATTCTGAAAGTCTAGCAGTTTTGCTTTGCTTAGAAAACTGCTTGTGATTGGTTCCCTGAGACGTGAAAAACCTCAGATGTCATCAGCCAGTCAGTCTTCCTTTCCCCCTTTGAGACAGGGTCTCAATATATAGCCCTAGCCTGAACTCAACATGTATTCCAGGCTGGCCTTGAACTCACAGAGCAGAGCCCTGCCTCACTTGCCTCTGTCTCCCTAATGATTAAAGCATGTGCTACCACATCCATCAGGAAGCAGCGTGTCTCTTTCTCCTGGACCTACCTGCCTCAGGCAAACATTTTCTTTTGCAGACAGTGGCATCATTTTCATTGACTTTTCCAATATAGATTAAGATCATTTCTAGAGGGAACAGAGGAGAAGGGTGCTTGGGGGAGAGTTTGTCTAGCTAGATCTATGGTCCCTAGATTTTTTTTTCCAGGGATCTCAAGAGATTGTTGGACTTGAGAGGAGACTTTCCCCTTTAATGCTATGGCTCAAACATAGAAGAGACTCTTTTTCTTTCATTTCCTATAATAGATTCCAGACCGGGAGGCTTAAACCAGTAGATGGACTATATTGAGACAATCTATCAGATGTAAAGAAAGAAACAAGGGCAATGAGACAGGTTTAGAAGTAAACAGCTTGCTTTTAGCTTAGGGTGGGGAAAGAAATAAAAGGAAAAACCTTACTGGCTACCAATCCTCCATGGTGCCAGCTTCTTTGATATGTGGCAGGAACCAGATCTCAGCCCCTTGAAAACTTGTTCTCAGCCTTAGGTGTACCTGAGAATGACCTAGAAATTGCCTCATCCTCAAAGATTTTCTTTTAGCTGCCCTTGAAATATAACATAGGCAGGGGCCTGGAGAGATGGCTCAGTGTTTAAGAGTATGTGCTGCTCTTCCAGAGGACCTGAGTTCTGTTCCCAGTATCAGTCAACCAACCTCTTGTAACTCCAGTTTCCGGAAGATTCGACTCCATGAGTACCTATTGCACACCCATAGACTGGCACATACACACATAATTAATTTTTTTTTCAAGACGGCGTTTCTCTGTATAGACCTGGCTGTCCTGAAACTCTCCTGTCCTGTAGATCAGGGTGACCATGAACTCAAGAGATTCCATCTGTCTCTGCCTCCTGGGTGTTGGGATTAAAAGCATGTGCCACCACCACCCAGCCCAGCATAATTAAAACTTTTTAAAGAAGTATAACACAGGCATAAAGGTTTCTGCAACCTCCTCGGGTCACTCTTTGTCTGTTAGTTCTGAGAACAGTGGTGCTGAAAGTGTCCCAGATAATAGCTGGTTTGCCCCAAGCCCAGTGTGTCAGGTCCAAGAGCATAAGCGAAAGCTTTGAGCATCACTCAGTTGACAACAGTTGTCCTCGTTTTGGGCTTTCCTGGCTACAGGCCTCCATTACCTACTCAAAGAGAACATTCCAGCGGACAACTAAGATGCCCACTGTCTCCTCTGGAGTCCTATATGAGAAATGTGTGTGGGTGTGTGTGGATATTACCAGTTCAGACACAACACAGAGCCACTCTTGTCTAGAAATGGCTCATGGCTCACCTGGAGCCTAGCTAAGGAAAATTTGGGAAGAATGTGCCCCCCCCCAATCCCCTGCCTTGTCAGCTATAAGATCTGTGATGTTCTTACCCTCCCCATCCAGAATGGATCAACGAGGTGTACCTGCCTACTAACCTCAACCGACTCCAGAAGGCTTTCAGCTATGTAACTAAGAAGCTGAAGGAATTGAATATCCCCTTTTCCAACTGTGGCTCTGGCCTCTTCCTCTGGATCAACCTGAAAGCTGTGAGTTCCAGAAAGGGCAGGCCTGGGCTTACCCATTAACTGGACTTGTGCTCAGCCCTGCCCCCTTCCCTTTCCCTAGTACCTGAGCCCGTGCACGTTTGAACAAGAGCAGATCCTTCTCCAACGCTTCCAGGACAACAAGCTGCTGTTATCCAGTGGCAGATCCTACATGTGTAAGGAGCCTGGCTGGTTTTGCCTCCTCTTTGCAGAAAAACACCTTCAACTAAAAGTCGGTGAGTGCTGCTGTCATCCCCATCCCTGGCCGGATATCCAGGCCCCATCAATTCCTTCCTGACTCATTTATTCTGCCTTCAACAGCTTCTATATGCTCCTTTGTAAACAGGAAGCAACCCATCCCTTAAGAACCCACCTGTCCCTGCATTTCATCTTTTGAGTGTACCATGTTTTGTGTCTGCCATGTGTTTGAGAATCTTTAAGACCAGGGGCTTCTTTCTAATAAGCAGTTTTTGCCTATGTGGGACTGGAGTCTAATGGATTTGATGGGCAGGTGGTCAGGGCAGCCCTTGTATGTTCTATCAGCATCCACACGTTCCACATGTTTATTTGAATAATTATTTATAGAATCTCATTACTTGCCAGACACTACCTGCTGAGACTAAAGCAGCGAGCCTCATAAAATTTGTCTTAAAGAAATATCTTATAGTCCAGTGTGGAAAATAGACAGGGTCATTCACACTTGCAATCCTGACACTTGGGAGGAGACAGGAGGTCTAAGAGGTTAAGGCTAGCCTGGGCCACACAGAGAAAGACACTGTATCAAAAATAATCAAACCCAGTGAAGGTTAAGAGGCAAATAAGCCACAGTACAGACTTTGACATAGACCTTGTTATTTCTGGCAGGCTGATGATTTGATTACCAAATTCAAAAAGAGCCAGAAGACGTAGAACAGTTTGCCCTCAAGTTCTATCCCAAAAAAGGGAAGGCTGACCTCAGCACTCACAAACAGAGGCTCTGATGATCTGCCATGACCTGGCTCTGTGTGGGCTCTATCTGTATGTTCACTAACTCTTTCTCCGTGTCCCCTTCTAGCCATGGACAGGCTTTCCAAGGCGCTCAATGATCACAGACAAGACATGATAACAGAACAAATAGAGGATGCGATCAATGATGTGGGCTTTTGGCCTCCGGGCAGTGGCTCCAGCCAGCCTGCTGTCACATGCTCAGGGGCCCCTGAACCTAGCCTCTTACCTAGAAGACTGGGGAAGTAATTGGTGCTTCTGTGCTGTCTGACCTCACGCATCAAGGTCCCCCTAAGCAAAATGTCTGCCATTTTTAGAAGCCTTGTTTCTTTTAGTCTTTGCTAGTTATTGTGTACACAAAAATGATGTTTTTATTGTGATGGGAGTGGGAGGGCCCTGGAGGGGTAAAGGGAATTCCCTGGATTCCTTTTTAGATGGCTTTGTTTTTATATTTAGCATTTAATAAATGTCATTCTCTATTTTCTCCAGTTCCAGGCCTGCTTTATTTCTGCTACACATTTCTCTTTGAAAGGAGATGATTATTATTATTATTTTTTTGTCCTAAGTTATTTGGAAAGTTTGTATGTGAAGAATACTGTCAGGGAGAGATTCTGGGGCATAGCTTAGAGGGTAAGAGTGCTTTGCTCTGCAAGTATGAGGACCTGATTTCAAATCCCCAGTACCCCATGTAAAAACCTGGGCATGGCTTTATGTGCCTGTATCCTCAGCACTGAGGGGGCGGGGCATAGACAGATGGACCATAATATCTCACTAGCAATTGAGTCTAACTGAAATGTCAAGAAATCCTGTCTTAATGCAACAAGGTTGAAAGCCCGAGAGGACAATCTTGAGGTCCTGCTGGGACTTCCACATGTGCCCATGTAGGCTCTCTCTCTCTTTCCCCCACTCCCATATGGGACAGGTCTGTAAAGAAGGGAAGAAGTGACTAATAGCAGGATGCTGAAGGAGCACTCAGTGTTGGTTCTGTTATCTTTATAAGCTCACATCTTCCATCCATATGAGTGGCTGAAGGACTGGACCAGGTGTATTGTGGGTATTCCTGCATCCAAATGCCAGAGATCTTTTCAGAGGCTTTATGATGAATCTTGGAATCTCAGTTTGTTCAGGCAGCTATAACAAAATACTAGAAAACTAATAAAGGATGAAAATCTGTTTTTTTCACAGTTTTAGAAGCTGTGAAGTTCAAGAACCTGATAAGTATTTGGTGGGGCCCATCTTTTCTCTGTAACCTCACATGACTGGAGGGCCGGGGCCCCCTCTGCTTTCATGACTTCCCAAGGGTCCCACCCGCTACTGCAGTCACTTTAGGGATGAAGACTTCACATATGAATTGCAGAGTTTTTGGAGCACAAACCCCAGATCCCAGAACTGGACTCATTCATTATCAACACTTCCCACTATTCAAATTGCACCGGCCTGTATTTCTGTGAAGCTCTTGCCTACTGGAGGCGGGGAAATGCACAGAACAGAGTCAAAACCTTTTGTGGATGATGGAAAAGCTTCTAGTACTTGTTGATAGTTTTGATTAGTCATGTGGATTTCTGCCACACACTCTCCCCTGGGAACAGGTGGGCCCCATTTCTTTTTACCTCTCTTTGCCTTTCTATACCACCAAGGCTGGCCTTGAACTCCTATCTTGCCTCAGCTTCCCCAGTGCTAGGATTATGGGTACATGTCACCAGGCCCATAGGTCCTTCTCTTCCCCTTTCTCCCCTCGACCCCAGACAACAAAAGAAAGTGCATTGCTTTTCTCAAGCAACTTTAGGAAGGATTTATTTGTGCTCACAGTTTGAGAGTTCCGTGTACTATAGTGGAGAAGGCAAAGGTGGCACTGGGCGTGGCTCTAGCAGGAACAGGAGGCAGTTGGACACTTTGTATCCACAGCCAGGAGGCAGAGGTGAGCGCTGCTGCTCCCATTACTTTCTCAGTTCTTATTCAGTCTGGCTTGTGGAATGGCGCTACACATTCAGGTTGTTCTTACCAAGTTAAGCCTCTCTAGAAACACCCTCATGGGACACACCCAGAGTCGTGTATCCTACGTGGTTCTAAATCCAGTCAAGTTGATTATGGAAATGAACTATCACAGAGTAGTTCAATAAATCCTAATTCTTCAAGGTTTGTTAAACTAGATAAGGCTCTTTAGAAACAGATTGTGAACCAAGAATGGTGATATGTACCTGTAATCCTAGTACTCAAGAGACTGGGGCAGAAGAATTGTGAGTTCAAGGCCTCCCTGGGCTGTATAGTAAGATCTTACCACAGGTAGAGAGGGAATTTGTTGGAAGAGCACGGGAGACCAGAAATGTTCTCAGTACCTTTATAAAGGAAGCTAGTAGTTTCACTGGTATGAGATGGAAGGAATCATGTCTTCCCTGGAAGTGCTGGCCTGTTTCTGAGTCTGCTCAACTCAATATTCAGATGGGGGCTGGTGAGATGTGACTAAAGGCACCTGCCACAAGACTGATGGCCTGTGTCTGAGCCCCAAGCCTCACATGGTAGAAGGGGAGAAGTGACTTCCATTAGTTATTAGTTATCTCTGACTTCCACATCCACATGCCCCAAGTAAATAAATATAATAAACATTAAAAAGAGTTGTAGGCATTTCACTTTCTTGTTAACATTTTCTGTTTGTATTACTTTTTTTTCATTGCTAAGACAAAATACCTGAGAGCTAAGAAAGGCTGGGCATGGTGGCATAGAGTGGCATATGCCTGCAACCCCCAAACTTGGGAGGCAGAGGCTGAATGAGCACTACAAGTTTGAGGCCAGCAAGGCTGCACAGTGATATAGACACTGTCTTAAAAGACTTACAACCATAAGCACACACATATTTTAGAAGAGGTGGTGATATTCCCTTGAGGAACATTCTTTTAGCATCTCATAACTGAAAGATGATAACCACCAATATTATCTTACTTGATTGTTACATTACATGATAAACTGACAAAAGAAAGCAAACCTCTATACAGAGTTTTAACAGAAGATGACAGAGGCATCCATATTGAATTCAGTCCTCACTTCGGCAACTGGTCTTAGCTGGTATTTATGGCTACCTTCCTCTACTGTCCCTTGTGTGTCCCCTCAGCGAGCACCTCAGCAGGTCCTGGTGCTTTTCCTGGGAGAGTGACCCAAACCTCCATTTCTGAAGGGTCTGTGCCCTTTGCCATCCTGCCTAGATTAGATCGTTGTAGTTTCCCATTGACTTTAACCACAGGGCCTGGTATCACCAAGAGATGCCCTAAAACAGTGATTCTTAATCTGTGGGTCATGACCCCTTTGGCATTGAATGGCCCTTTCACAAAGGTTTCATTTCAGATATCCTGCTTATCAGATATTTACATCAGGGTTCACAACAGTAGCAACATTATACTTATGTAATTTTATGGTTGGGGGTCACCACGACAGGAGACACTGCATTTAAAGGGTCACAGCATTAGGAAGGTTGAGAGCCACTGCCCTAAAGGCTCCCCTGCATCCCAGACAGAACCTTTGTTACCTCCATTGTGGAGAAGCAATCTGGATCAATCTCCCCTCCTGATACTATCATGAGCCGCCATGGGGAAGCCCTAGCTTCCAGCCCAACGCAATGCTTGCTTTGTCTCCATGCAGGAGTGCTCCCCTATGTGAAACAAAAATGTCTAGGCCAGCAGAACTCAAGGTTTCAGAAAGAGGAAGAACGGTTTTTCTAGTGGGTCACTCGGAGTAATAGAGAGTGGAACCGTGCCTTTTCCCACTCCTAGATTCCCGTGAATCCTGGCTTATGGAGAAACCACACCACATACCGGAAGACAATTACTTCTGTCTTAGTTGTTGTTCTACACTGCTGTAATTAAACACCGTGACCAAGGAAACGTATAAACAGAAGCACTTGATTGGGCCTTGCTCATAGTTTCAGAGGGTCAGTTCACTACCATTCTGTCAGGGAGTGTGGTGGCAGGTAGACCTGGTGCTGGAGCAGTAGCTAAGAGCTTACCTGATCTGCAGCCAGAAGGGAGAGAGAGACTGGGCCTGGCATGGGCTTTTGAAACCTCAGAGGCCACCCTCAGTGACACACATTTGCCAGCAAAGACATACTTCCTAGTCCTTTAAGGGTCTACCAACTAGGGATCAGATATGCAAAAATACAATCCTACGGGTGCCATTCTCATTCAAATCGCCACACCGGCAGTGACAGATTGGAACTACTGAGGCATCACACCTTGCTTACTTAGCATTCACTGGTTCTCAGTGTCTCCTTCGTGAGTATGGCCATTGTTGAGTTACCTAGACCAGAGGTTCCTGCTCCAGTTTGGGAAGCTTATAAACGATAGTATTATATTTTCATGGATACGTCATTTATCAGTCTAGGCCTCATGTTTTGGTCTAGACCGGACGTTGTTTCCTTTCGTAATTAAGAGGTGGAGTCATTTGGTTTTGTCATTTGCACTCATTTTAGCAAACCTCTGGGAGTCACACAATGACAACTACTTAGGACTTGCTGCCTGCTTGCTTTGGTTTTCTGGCACCAGGGATTGAACTTTGTATCCTTTGTCTTCTCACATCTCTAAAAATCTGTTCTGTATAGACTGGAATTCAAAGAAGCACCCCTTTAAGAGCTATTCATTCCCACGTGTTTATGCGGCCATATTAATATACATATCGATAAATTTCTATTTTTCTTTTGTAAATCTTTGCCCCCTCCAACTAAGAATTTCCTGGGGTTGAGAGAAAAAAGCCTTTGCAAATGCGTGGCGGGGAGTTCACTTGGGCAGGTTGGTGACTCTCTGGAGGAACGGTGTTTTAAGAGGATGCTTTTTTTTTTTTTTTCTTTTGTTTTTCGAGACTGTGTTTCTCTCTGTAACAGAGCCCTGGCCGTTTTCTAACTAGGGAAGAAACTTCCATCCCTCCAACGGCTCTGACCAAGGGTGTCTGAAATGCTAGCGGGATCTGAGCTCAAGCCAATGAGAGAAGAGAGGGGGTGGGTGGGCGTGGTCTTGTCTTGGCCAAGATCTCCACCTTTCCGTCCCTTCCTCTTCAGAGTGCAGACTCCAGTTTCTGGCGGGCTGTTAAGTGCTGAACCCCAGAGCTTCCACATCCGGACGCTGGAAGCAGGGCACAGGCTCCTCTCCCATGTCCCCGCCTGGTCGCCAGGGGTCAGGCTTCCCCAGAGTCCCGGAAGTCCAGTCCTGAGGATACCGCGAGTGAATCCCGAGATCCAAAGTAGGTGCTATCTCCCACTGTGCCTGCCGAAGGGGCAGGCTTCTCTGCCCGGTACTTCTGATCGCTTCCTGCCTGTGGGTCTGGAAGTACTGAGTGCAGTCACATTTGCTTCCTGGGCCTGGAAAACCGAGCAGGCCCTGTCGACCACTGTGTATGTTTGTGAGCGCTGGGCTGGCAAGATCGCCAGGCTGGATTGATCTCCCAAGCACTGCCTTGCGCTCCTGCTGGGTTCTGACTGCGCCTGGGTCTAGACCACGTTGCCCACGAGCTGAGCTCCGTGGTGCCCTTCCTCAGGCCTGGGCTGTCGGTGGAGCAGAGGGTGTGCTCTACCGAAGTCCCGCTACCTTGGGGAGGACCCCAAGATTTGCAAAGCAAAATTAAACTACGGGGCAGTTTCTGTGTCCCCATCAGCCATCTGCCAAGTAAGACTTGTACCTTAAAACAGGGAAATCAGAGAGCATTTGTGATAGTGACTCATTTCATACTTTTGGCCACTAGCCAGAATTTGCTGAGTGCTTTATCACTGTTGCCCTTTGAGGTGGTTATGGGCCCCACCAGAGCACAGGTGAGACACCAATTCCCTCCCCCCCCCCCTCCGCCAATTCCCATCACCATCTGTGCCAGACTGCCTGTCACACAAGTGGTCCAGGACCATGGCAGTCTTCTGCTTGGGAAATGGCCTGGTGTTTTAAAATTGAGAAGAGCAAGGCTGGGGAAAGATCTGCCCCCTGAGACTGCAGAATGAGGAAAAAAATGTCAAAATGGAACAAGCGAAAGCTACAGTAGATTAAGGTTATTTATATGTAGCAAACATAGTTTGTACTCATGGACAATCAACAGATATCGCTGAAGTGTTTCATTAAATAGGAACACTTTAGGGATGAGTACATAAGCTTGCAAGATGAGGAGCTGTCTGTGTGATGAAGATCACCTTAGTTCCACCTACTAGGAAGGCTGAGAAAGGAGGATCACTTGAGCTCAAGGGTTCAAGGCCAGCATTGGGCAACCATAGGGGGGAAAAAACAAGAAAAGGAAAGAAGAAAGGAAGGAAGGAACGAACGAACAAACGAACGAACAAATGAAAGAAAAAACAAACAAAGGCAGGCTGGGAAGTCAGTAAAACGCATTTCTTGCCTTGCAGTCATGAAGACCTGTGTTTTGTCCCCAGAACCCACATAAAATAGCCAGATGTGCATGCTCGTAATTCCATAGCTGGGGAGATGGACACAGGCTAGTTAGTCTGATCTAATGCCAGCACCAGGGCCTAGTGAGAGACCCTGCCTCAAAAAACAAGGTGGGCAGCTCCTAAAACAATACCAGAGGTTGTTCTTGGGCCCATACCCAGACAGACACACACACACCACACACACACACACACTCACACCACACACACACACACAAAGCATGAACAAAAGCCCTTCAGCAGGCCTGTGCATTTGTGTTTTGACAGATGTTCCCTGTTTCTCAGAGGGACTCTATTGCACCTACTACCTCTTCAAGCTCAGCCTCTAGTCAGGACATGGAAAGTGGCTGTGAGGATGGTCTGCAAGGAGAATGCCTCAGAAAAACAGACCAGAAGCAGCCCAAACTCTATGGAGTGGGTGACCCCACGGCCATGTTCACCTCTGACAGCTCCTGCCTGTCCTCTAGAGGAAGAGTCATCAAATGGTTCTGGGACTCTGCTGAGGAGGGCTACAGGACCTACCACATGGATGAGTATGACGAGGACAAGAACCCCAGTGTGAGTGAAGACCCCTTCCCCACTGGGACTCAAGCGCAAACTAATCATAGGGCAGCTAGCACCCAGCTTGCTCTTGCTGGGTTGGAGTTATGCTCCTCAGGTTCCAAGAGGGCTGCCAATGTTTGCTCTATAGACAGTTCATGTAAAAGTAACTTTTACTTACCTGATGTAAGGTTGTCTCCAACCTAAGCCTAGTCCTGGAAGCTTCTAGCCTCCATAGACACTAATCTAGGCCTAAAATGTTTTCAGCCTCTGAGACTTACTGCTGAATAAGCTCACCCTTTCTAGTTCTTTTTGAACTCTGGCTGGCTGGTTCAGCTTAGCTGTTCTCATTCAAATTCTCCTCTAAGCTGACTGATTCAAACTGGTCTCTCTCAGCTTCTGACTAATAGCTCTGCTTGGCCTCAGATTAACTCTAGCAATCTGTTCTACTTTTTTGAATCCTTCTCATTCCCTGGCTTTTTCTCTTTTCACCTGTGTCTAACTTGCTCTCTCTTCAACCTCTCTCTGTAAAAATCTTCCAGTAAAACTGCCTTTTCTCCCTCTCCCGCTGTGTTTTTCTCGCAACTAGCTTCTCTTTCCCCTTTCTTCTTGTGAGAGTTGGGCATATGCTATTCTGTCAGATAATTCTCTGATTTGTCACTTTGTCTGCTCTCAATTAGACAACACTTTCAAACACTGGTGCTTCCTTCTACAAACTAACTTTACCTTCATTGTTTGGAGTTAAAGATGTGTACTAAGGATGTGCCTGTACTCCAGCCAGAGGGATTAAAGGTGTGTGCCATTTCTGCATTCTAGCTGGATCACACAGACACAGAAAGTCTTTGAATGTGGTCAGAGTAGCTGTGTTACTGGATTAAAATTTGTCTCTGAGATGGGCTGGTAATGTCTTCTTGTAAGAGTCAACATTAAGTGGGATCAGGGATGTGACATTAACAGTGCTTGTCATATAATACACTTGATAAATAGTAGCTGCTATTATTAATATCGTCCACCTTGATTATCATAATCTGTTATACATAATAGTTTGGCAGGCCAAAGAGGTGCACGGTAGCCCTTATTAATAGTTCTGATCTGTTGAGCGTCCATCAGGTATCAGCGACTATTCTAGACACTGGCTGGTCATAGCTGTGAGTAAAACTCAAATCCTGCCCTATGTACTTTTGTCTTAGTTGAGACAAACAACACACACACACACACACACACACACACACACACACACACACACACCATTTACTAAAAGGTACTGCAGAGAAAATGAAGACAGGGTGAGGTGCATAGAGGATGATGGCGGGCTGGAAATGTTGCTACTTGACAGGATATCAGAAGGCAACTCTACTCAGGTGACATTACAACAGAGGCTTGTAAAAAAAAAGTGAGAGCTTGCTTTAGTTATCCATTGCTGTAACAGATCACCCCAAAGCTTAGCAGCTTAAGTAGCAAACATTTCCCAGTTGCTAGGGTTCAGGACTCCTGGTGGCATCTTCACACCAGGGGTTCCTGTCTCAGTTCCCTGAAGCTGGTGCTATGGTCTCACCTGAAAGCTTGGCTGGTTGGTGGGGCATGGACAGGTGAGAGGCTCCATCTCCAAGCTCCTGTGCACGTGGACTTTTCCATGAGGACTGTCTCCGGTATGGCAGCTCCCTCCAGGGCAGATGACCCAAGGCAATGAGAGACCTATGAGCACCCACGGTAGAAGCCATACACTTTTATGACTTAACTTTAGAAGTGATGGCCCGTCACTTTTGCATGCTCTTCTCATCAGAAGTGGTTGGCAGATTCAGTCACTAGGCAGAATGCCATGGGAGAGGCGACCCACCGCCAGCGGCCATGCAGCTGTGAGAACAGCTTGGACAAAGGCCTATGTACGAGAACTATGCTGGGTCAGATCAAGAGATGGCAAAGTGACTAATGGGCTATGGCACAGCCAGACTGGTGGGTGATGGGGTCAGAAAAGCTATGGATATTGTAGAGCCTCATAGGACATGGTGGGTGTTCTTTTTGTAGACAGAGCGAGGTAGGAAGTGTTCGGGAGAGGAGCAGCATGAATGGTGCAATTTCAGTCCTTTTAAAGACATCTTGGACTTCCACATGAAGGCCCAGTGACAGGCGAGGGAGCGGACAGGAGAGGAGGCGAGAAGCTATTGCAGTGCTCTGGAAGCATGGCGATTTAGTCTGGGGTTTCAGCAGTACAGCGTAATGGGTGGGTGGCTGGATGTGCTGTGACTGTAGAGCCATTAGAATTTGCAGTTGAGTTGGCTGACTGGAGGAACCCGTTTCTTTCCTAGGGGTGGCGAGTACTGCCTTTCATCTTCTTTTATTTATTTACTTTTAAAGATTTATTTATTTTTTATTATGTATACAACGTTCTGTCTGCATGTACACCTGCACACCACAAGAGGGCACCCGATCTCATTATAGATGATTGTGAGCTACCATGTGGTTGCTGGGGCTTGAACTCAGGGCCTCTGGAAGAGCAGCCAGTGCTCTTAACCACTGAGCCATCTCTCCAGCCCCCGGCCCCATCTTTTATTTTCTAACTCTCAGCTCATTCAGGTTGTTTTGTCTTTCCTGCTTCCTTCACTGCCCACATAAGGCAGGGGTCAGGAGTTGGCACCTCCCATTAGGAATAACACCTTATGGGGTGGCAATCAAATGCTGTGTCCTGTTAGCAGGGTCTTCTGGCACGGGAGGGTCCATTGAACACTGCCATCTTGTTTTTTGTTCCTAGCAGACTATGATTTACAGTATGCATTTTTTTTTTTTTTTTTTTTTTGGTTCTATCAATGTTTCTGTGGAGACACAGTAGTCACGAATCTGCCTTCAGGGAGCTAGTTATCAGCAGGGAACTCTACCCTGATCTCTGTAGCATGGGGCAGAAACTGAGTGGTTTTCTGTGGGACTCCAAGAAGCAAAGAGCCCTTCCAGGCGGGGTGTGTGGGAAGGCTTCTTGCCAGAGACGGTATTTAGACAGTGTTGGAGATTGGAGATGGGATTTTGAAGCCTAGTGAGGGCCCAGCTTGAGCAAAGACAAGGAGGCATGGTGAGGGGGTAGATTTGCTGTCTGTGGGCTCCTCGGGCTCTTCATTGGCATTCCTCTGTCATGCTTACCCACCCTGCCTCTACCCCTTGTCTGCAGGGCATCATTAACCTGGGCACCAGTGAGAACAAACTCTGCTTTGATCTTCTGTCCTGGCGGGTGAGTACAGGGGCTGGCATCACCAGCTCCAGGTGGGTAAGTACCAGGCTGCCATCACCAGCACCTGAAAACCCTTTGCCACAGTAGCTTACTGTATGCCTTGGTGGCCCTGGCTTAAGGGCTGGGAGACATGGATTCCAAATCTGCCTTGGGAACAACTCCACTCTCCTCTCCCTTCCCTCCCCTCCCTCTCCATCACCTTCTGTACCCAGTCTGCCAACAGAACTATATAGATCCCTAGTCTATAATTTTATTTTATTTTTTTGCTGGAGATTGAACCTAGCACTTACACAGTCTACGCAAGCCAAACTACACTCTCTGCCGTCTTAACTCTTTATTTTGAGATAAGGTCTAAGTTTCCCAGGCTGATCTTGAACTTTTTTCTGCAATCCAGGTAGGCCTTGGATTCGCAGTCCTCCTGCCTTAGTCTCTGGTATAGCTGGGTACCTGCCAGGCCAGGCTGTTTCTAATCCAGCTTACAAAATTCCTTAATATTTCATCAGACTTCTTAAAATTTTATCAGATGCCTCAAGTCTCCAAAAGCAAAAATAACTAAAATTGGTTTTAGTATTTTATTTACCTAATATATATCTATCTAAAATATGACCATTTCAGCCGGTAATAAATATACAGTTATTGATGTCTATGAATACTTGTTTTTGCGAAGTCTACAGTTCAGATTAGCCACCGAGTAAGTGCTCAGTAGTCACAGAATACCAGTGGCTTCATGTTGGACCAGCTCTAAGGGGTGACAGGAGGGAGGGGAATGGCTGGACCCAGGCATGGAGAAGGAGGTGATTCCAATTCTTCTGCCCTCCTCCCCCTACCCAAGGACACTATGTTATTGGCCCACGATGCTCTATTGCCACTAATCCAGTACCTGGTCATACAAGGGATGGTCTACAATTTGTCACCATACACAAAGGGTAAGATCGAGTTGAGCCTGCAGGGGACAGTGTCCTGAGACATGACTCCCCCCCCCCCCCAAAGTTGAAGCCAAGGCCAAGTTGACATCACCCAATGCTGGAGCCTCCTCTGACCTCCGGGAAGGCTGAGCAATATGACCTCCCACTGTTACCTCTGCACCCGTCCATCTGACTTTTGTTGTATAGAGAGCTGGAGTCAGAATTGTGGATATGGTTTTAGCTCTCCCATTTGCTAGCCCAGTGGCCCTGCCTTCACTTTGTGAGCCTTGGTTCGCGTATCTGTGAAATGGGCCTGGGAGTGCTGTCCCGTACTCCTTTCACAGTTTCTCTGAGAAGCAGGGGAAACCCTAGGTGACGAAGGGCCTAGTGCCATCTGGAGGCAGGCGATATTGCCAGCCTTCAGCCTTGCTCTTTTTCCTATGCGTTCCCAGCTGACGCAGAATGACATGCTTCATGTGGAACCATCTCTGCTGCAGTACCCTGACTGGAGGGGACATCTGTTGTAAGTAGCTGCCGCAGGCTGGTGTGTCTCAACACGGGGTGATGTTGGTCCTCCGGGAGGTACAGCAGTCCCAGGGCACATTTCTGTTGGTGTAACTGGAAGAAAGGTCTACTGAAGATGGGTCGGGATGATACCGACTGTGCTGTACACTGATTATTTCCCGGGGTCAGGCACTGTTCTAAGGCATTAGCGGCCCACTGGACCTAACCCAGGATGTGCTCCAAAGCTCATATTCTTAGAAAATGGTCATCAAGACAGTGATCCCTGGTCTTGAGCAAGGACTCTGCCACTTAACCAGCAAGGGATTCAATTCTCTTAAATCTCAGTTTGTTTGTTTGTAAAATGGGAATGATAGTAATTATAGTCACCATGGAACAGTTGCCAAATAACAGTTTTGTAATGTTGAAGCTCAGTAAGAGCCATGGAAACAGTGCCTGTTATCATAATGTTTCTTATTATCATTATTGGCTGGATTTATGTGTTGTTAGTTTCATCCCCTGAAGCCTCCTGGTTAGGTGTGGCTGGGTGTCCTAGAACTTCAGAGAATGAATGCTTTGTGGATGGATGGGGGAGGGTGTTTGCCTACCACATTCATGTCTTGGGAAGGGAGGATGGGGCAGTGGTAACCAGCCACTTGTAGGTTCCCAAAGGGGCCCTGGAGTGGACTGGGCTGGGAATCCTCTGACAGCTGTCACACATCATTGGCCTATCCTTTTAGCCTCCGGGAAGAAGTGGCAAGGTTCTTGTCTTTCTACTGTAAAAGCCCAGCACCCCTCAAACCAGAGAATGTGAGTCACACATTTCCTGGGGTTAAGGGTCGGGGTGGGGGTGCTTGGGGTCTGCCTCTCACTTAGTCTTGACTCCCAACTCCATTGTGCTGGTCCTTCTTGGCTTCCCCACCTTTTAGAGAGATCCTTAGCATGACCAGTTTTGTCTCTGGTTAAGATTAAGAGCAGGGACCCCAGAAATAAGCTTGGCTGGGAACCAAGAGAGACCTCTGTCAGGATGGATCCCCAGGAAACTTGGGAGAGGCGTGGCCCTTCTTGTGGTCCTTGCTCTTCTCTGTCCCCTGACAGAGGCATTCTCATCTCCTGTCAAGTCCAGGTGGTTGTCCTGAATGGCGGTGCCTCTCTCTTTTCCGCTCTGGCCACAGTGCTGTGTGAGGCAGGAGGTAAGTGGACTCCATGCCCCGCTCCCTTAGCTTTGTACAGGCCCGTGCTGTGCTGCGGCCCCAGTTGACTGGCATCGGAGCTGCCTCAGGATGTCGTCAGCTGTGATAGAATATAGGAGACTACAGGAGCCTTGAGTGAGTGGCTTGACCGGACATCCAGGGGCAGCTGTTCTCGGGGAGGTTCATTTGGGTTCAGGGTCCTGCTTCCTATCTATGAGTCCTTCATGTTTATCAGGTCATTGTCACATGAAAGTTCCAATAAGCCAGTCTTTCTTCTGTCAGGACAGGGCATTGAGATTACTTATAAACCTAAACCCTGGCAAAGGGGCCTCAAGGAGCCAGTGTTGGCATAAACCAAACTGGTACACCCCATGGCTGGGGAAGGCCTGACTTGGATATATTGCTGGTCCTCTTTCAAACAAACAAAAACAAACACCCAACCACCTCCCCTACTTTTCTCTTAGCAAGAAAGGAAATCTAAATGGCTGTTGAGTAGACAGCCTGCTGTAAAAAGCAGTATGGTTGTGGCCAGGAGCAGAGGCTTGCTCACGATAGACTAAATAATGGATTAACACTGGCCACATGCAGTCTCCACACACTGTATTCCAGGCGAGGTCATGTGGCTTTACATAGCACCCCTATGAAGTGGGTTTTTTGGTTGGCTCCATTTTACAGGTGAGTAGACTGAGGCCAAGAGGTTAAGCAGCTTTTCAAAGTCACACAAACAGAAGCAGTCACCAGGACTTGAACCCTAAAGGAAGGTCTGTTGTGAGAATACGATAGACAATTTCTTACCCATTCTAGGACAATCTCCAAGCTCCATTTCCTGGATCTATAAAGTTAGGTTGACAAGAGTGCTTACTTCAGAGCATGCTGGTGAGGTTGTTTAGCACGGCATCCATGGTTGATGTTAGCAGAGGGCCCCACCTCACAGTGGATGGATAGGGGCTTTCAGCTTACAGTGCTGAGAAAACTGCAAATTCAATAGCAACTCTGTTTTGGTTTCTCTTTACTTTTAAATAAATCTTTACTTATAATAATCTTTATTTTATGTCTATGGCTGTTTTGCCTGGATGTATCTTTGTGTGTGCCTGTGGAGGCCACAGTGGAGCATTGGATCCCCTGGAACTGGAGTTGCAACCAGTTGTATGCCATCATGTGGGTGCTGGTAATCGAACCCAGGTTCTCTGGAAGAGCAGCCGGTACTTTCAGCTGCTGAGCTGTCTCTCCACTCTCTCCACTTTCTCTATTTTAGACAGGGTCTCATGCAGCCCAGGGTAGCCTTTTGTGAACTCACTATGTATCTGAGGATGACCTTGAACTTCTGATCCTCCTGTCCCCAACTCCTGAGAGCTAGGATTATGGGTGTGGTGCCTGATTTATGTGGTGCTGAGGATAGAACCCAGGGCTTCATATGTGCAAGGCAAGCCCTCAACCTACTGAGCTACATCCCTGGCCTTAGGAGTTTTGAGTTGTGGCAGCTTTTCTGGCTAGTGCCTTGTGATGCAGCATTTCCTTGATGGATAATGACAGTGAGCTCCCCTATTCCACCTGCAGGCAGCCATGAGATCTTAGGTCAACACCTATACCCTCGCCTGTTACAGGTTGCTAAGCTAGGATATTCAGGAAGTGGATTATTTTTAAATATTTTCACCTTATAGTAGATTTGTCTGAATGTGACCTCTGTCCCAAGTGAAGGAGCTTGATCTTATGGGATCCAAGTTTTAAGATTTTGGGAGTTGATAGGAAGGATATGCTTCAAATGTTTCCCAGAGATGATGGAGGCTTGGAAGGGCAGTAGGCCTCATGATGGGGTCTGGTGTATCCAAGCCAGAGGCCAATAGGCTGCCTATACCTGCCCCTAGATGCTTTCTTGATCCCCACCCCTTACTATGGAGCCATCACACAGCATGTCTATCTCTATGGCAACATCCGACTGGCCTACGTCTACCTGGACAGCAAGGTAAGAGAGCCTGCATCTTCCCGTAGGCAAGGGTTGCCTGGGTCTGAATCTGTGGGTGGGCACGAAGGCAGCCTGTATTAGGGGCTTTGGGGCTGCTGTGGAATGAAACTGCAGCCTTCTCTTGTCACATGGACAAGACACCTCTGCCTGGGTTCCCTGGAAGCTCCAAGCCACAGGTTCTAAGATCCTGGATCCAAGAAAAAGCCAAGGACCTCCCCCAGAAATAAGGGGAGGGAAAGAGGGGAGCTTAGGCCTTAGAAGTCCTTAGAGCCAATCAGGGAAGCCTGATGCCTCTATGAGAATTCTGAGTGATAAGGGTAGGGCAGAAGGCAGGAAGGGGAAGCAGCCCTTTCTGTTTGCTGGAGGCTGTACCCGGGAGACTGGAGATGAAGGAGAGCAAAGGCTCAAGAGTTCAAATTTAGGGTTGGGGGTGGGGGCATCACTGAATTTGAGTCCTGACTTTGGTGGGTCTCTTCCCAGGTAACTGGACTGAATAAACGTCCCTTCCAGCTCACCGTTGAGAAGCTAGAGATGGCCCTGCAAGGAGTTAATTCTGAGGTCTGGGGATTCAGTCACATCCAGGGCTGGGAGTGGGTGGGTCTCGGCAGCGGCTTGACCCTTCATCTCCTGGGAACTGGGCTTGCAACACTGATAGAGACGAATGCGGAGGGATTATGAAACCATCATGGGAGGGGGGCATCAGGCAGAATCCTGTGTCTGTGGGAGCTTCCTTAGAAACTTCCCCCTCACAAGAAAGGGTAAGAGGAGGTGTTGGGATATGATCAAAGGCCATTATATATAAGACACATACATTTGTTTAAAACAATGGTGGGCTTCACTCTTACCATTTCTATGCACATGCATAGTTTTAAACAAATGTATGTGTCTTGGTTACTGTTTTATTGCTGTGAAGAATCACCACGAGCAGGGTAACTCCTTAAAATAAAGCATTTAATTGGGATTTGCTTTACAGTTTTAGAGGGTTGTCTATGACCATCATGGCAAGAAGCAGAGAGGTATGGCACTGGAGCAGTAGCTGAGAGAGCTTTACATCCTGATCTGCCCGAAGCAGGCAGGGAGACACTGTACTTTTGAAGCCTCCAAACCCACCCTGAGTGACACACCTCTCCCAGTGGGGCCACATCTCCACCATCCTTCCCAAACAGTTCCTCTGAAGACCAAACATTCAAACATAGGAGCCTAGGGGGCCATTCTAATTCAAATCACCACAGTATGCTAATTAAAAAAGACCCCCCCCCCCCAGCCCTTTTGTTTCTGCTTCAGGGTCAAATGTGGACCATGGAAATCTATAATTTAGTGAGTCTCTTTGGCAATTTGAGGGGTCATCCTGGTGCTTTGGAGGGATTCCCTAAGAAAGGCAGAGACCCAAGTTCCTGGGCTTGCTTTCCACCATTTTCATCTTCTGAACACTTCACGGCGTTTTACCCTTTGTCATTCAAGCTGTCAAGTGCTCACTGCAGGAACTGAAAGTTCTCAACTTCCATTTTGAGTTTTACCTTTGTCATTCAAGCTGTCAAGTGCTCACTGCAGGAACTGTGAAAGTTCTCAACTTCCATTTTGAATTCTTCCTACACAAGCACCCTCTCGGCCAGCAGCTGGGCACATTTTCCTGTTCCCTGCCTGTTTTCTTTCCATGGTTGGCACGACACAGCTGATGTAATTCTCCGTCCCACTCACTTCTTGCTGTGCTTCCTTGGGAAGCTACCAGCCTCACCCAGGGGACCATGAGGCTCTGTCTGGGGTTGGCAGCGGGGAGGGCACTGAAACACCCCCTGGATGGTTTCAGGGTGTCAAGGTCAAAGGCCTCATCCTCATCAACCCCCAGAACCCTCTGGGTGACATCTACTCCCCTGAAGAGCTGCAGGAGTTCCTGGGATTTGCCATGAGGTGAGCTCCGCCCACCTCACACAGTGGACAGACAGGTTTCTGATGTGGTTTTGGGTAATTCCTTATACCTTCTGAGCTCACTGTGGGCTACTACCCGCTTTAGGGTCTCCTTGTCTTAAAACGCCAGCTATAATGCTCTAAGGCCAAACACCACAGTGAACATTTTCTTATTTGTTTGTTTATATGTTTAGCTGTGTTCATGTGTGTGTAAGTGTGGGGGACAGAGGTCATTCCTTAGATGCCTTCTATGTTATTTTTGAGAAAGGTTTTCTCTGGTCTGGAGCTGTCACATGTGAGAGGCTGTCTGGCCAGTAAACTGGCCCAGGGATCCACTTGGATTTGTTTCCCTAGCACTGGGATTACTAGCACATGCCTCCAGGCTTTTTAATTTTATTTAATGTTTTGTAAGCAGCTTCTAGGTATCAAACTTGGGTCTTCGTGCTTTCAAGGCCTCACTTTACTGACGGGGCCATTTTCCCAGCTGAGCACTTTGTGCGGTATCTGTTGTTCTGGCAGCAGCCCCATGAAAAATGGACACTGTTATTATCATCCCTGCTTGACAGAGCCTCAGAGTGGCCCAATCAAGAGTGAGACCAGGCATGAATTTGAGTCCCATTTGTCTCCAGCCCACCACAGAGGCCTCGAGGGTACCTCCACTCCCCTGCAGTGCCTCGAAAGCTCTAGAGTACTTTGCTTTATATGTGCAGCTTCCTGTTTGAAAAAAAATGTAGACCAGAGTGGGGTGTTCTTGGGACAAGCTGGTGTGGTCATCCTGGGCTAGACCTGTGGTCCTCTGGGTTTCTGACATACTGTCCCTCAACATTGGGTGGCATATTTTGGCTCTCTCCTTCCCACCACCTACCCATTCCAGGCACAAGCTGCATGTGATCATGGATGAGGTTTACATGCTGTCCGTGTTTGAAGAGTCTCTTGGGTACCGCAGTATCCTGAGCCTGGAAAGGTGAGGCCCCACTATAGCCGATTCTACCAGCCCCTGAACTGTTTGATGGTTTCCCAGCCTCTATCTGGATCAGTCCTACAGGGCCTGGCCTGCCCCAGGGTGGTTCCATGAATATCTGTATGATCTCACTGGTCTTCTGGCTAGGAAAGATTAGGATCAGGTAGATCAGGCACCTTTAGATTATTCTTGACATTCCCAAGTGCTCCAAGGAGAGGCGTTGGCATTCTTTGGGTCTGGGAAACTGGACTTTTGCTGTTTCCATTGTCTTCATAGTAGCTCCAGTTTCATCTATCCATCAGTCCTTGTGTCAGTCCATCTATCTATTCATCCATTCATCTATCCCCTCACCCACTTTATCCTCACATCCCTTCATCCACCCATTCATTTATTTATCTATCCACCCACCCATCCATCTATTTATCTGTATTTCTAGATAGACAAAGGTCTCAGCCAATAAAGGCACAGCTAAGCATTTCAATGCTAGTGGCAAGAAGTGCTGAAACAGAGGTGGTGAGTTGCTACGAGAAGGTCTGTTTGAGGTACCCACTTGGCCTCCTTTCCCAGGGTTGGTCAGAAAAGGCTTTTTGAGGAAGTGGTCCTTGAGCTCTACTCTAGCTCAGAGGTCAGGCCTCAGCTCTACCATAGACATGTGAGCCGGTGAACTTGGCTGTGTTCCGATATAAAGTTACAGAAATAGGCAGCAGGCTGTTTGTTGACCCCTATTCTAAGGGAAGTCTGGGGACCGGTGGTTCAAAGACCACGAGACCCAGTTTTGTCTATCCATCTATTTATCCATTCACATGCCTGTGATCTCCTGGCTCTGGGTTACTTACATCTCCATGCTGTCTTCTCTGCAGGCTACCTGACCCCCAGAGGACACATGTGATGTGGGCCGCCAGCAAGGTGAGTTCCTGGCTAGCCTGGGTGGGAGGGGATGGAATCAGTTTGTTCTGTGAGGGCTGACCATGGCCTAGCATGCTTCTCCTTGTAGGACTTCGGGATGTCTGGGCTTCGCTTTGGCGTACTGTACACGGAAAACCAGCACGTGGCTACTGCCGTGGCCTCCCTCTGCCGCTATCATGGCCTCAGTGGCCTGGTCCAACACCAGATGGCACGGCTGCTCCAGGACCATGGTGACTGCCTGGGTGTAGGGCCTTGCTTTCAAGGAGTGGGGTTGGAATGTACATGGGACCTGTTGGGGCTCTTGGGTGCCTTTCTTATGGAGGAACTTAGGTGGTGTCTGAGAGTGTCCTTTCAGAGTCCAGACTGAGCTCAGCCACTTGCTTGCTGCTTACACAGCACACTTCTTCACCTCCCTGAGCCTCAGGCTCCTCATCAGTAGAATAGGGCTGATGATGATGCTGGTCTGGCAGGCTGACTATGACCTGTCATTTGGTTCCAACAATCCATGGCATAAAATAGGCACTTGGTTAATGAGAGCTCACCATTTGGATGCAGTGCTGTGCATCTGTACTTCTAGCTACTTGGAGGCTGAAGTAGAAGGATCCTTTGAGGCCATGAGTTCTAGGCTAGCCTGGGCAACATAGTAAGACCCCACAAAAAAAAAAAAAAGAACTTATGGTCCTTTCAAAAGAAATCAGTTACCAAGAAAATATGGGGAGCTCTCTGTCTCTATGAATCCTATGATCTGTTCTTGCCTCCAGAAGTCGGTTTAGATGGCAAAGCTCTCCTATAATTGTTGCTGTTCACTGAGCCTTTCAGATGCTCTTTTGGTCCACCTCATTTTCCTCCATAGGGTCCTAGGAAGAATTCCTATACGGTTCCTCATTGTTTTACAGGTGAGGAAAAGGAGGACCAATCTAATAGCCTAAATATTTTTAGAAACGTGTGTCAATTATCACGCGTTGATAGGGGAGGTGGGACAGCCACCTATTGACCTTACACTGCTGGTGGGGACAGACGATGTTTCAGCCACAGTGAAAAACAACTTGGCAGTTTTCTATAAACACACTTATCAAATGGCCCAGCAGCCACAGCCCCAAATGGGGAACCGTGAGGGTCACAATAAAACCTCTGAGTGAATGCTAGTGGCTCCTTTTTTCCATAACCACCCACATCCACAAACAGTTCAGACGAGTTGACACACACAGATATATCCCATCCACTCCCCCAAAGACACTGAACTGATAAGAGAAGTTAGGGTCAAGAGGTTACATGCGACATGAGGCCACCTTTGGTGACAAAACTGTCATGAGGGATAACGTATCAGTCACGGGATAAGGGGTGGTGTAAGTCTAAATGACGTGAGGATAACATTTAGGGTCACTCAGGGTCCTGATTGTGGCGGTGTGCTTTCCTAAGTGTAAGAATGTGTCATAATCCACAGAGCTGCGCACTCCCCCAGTCATGGGTCAGGGAGGTGAAGTTGCTGGGCTCTGCCTTTTCCCCTGTCTTGTCAGAGGCCCTGCTGGGATCGGGTCCTTGATCTGGGTGGTTCTATCACTGCAGACACCTTTGGCTTGGTTCACATTCCGAGGGCCTTTACACTCTGGGCTCCTCCCTGTGGTCCGGGATCTGGCACTCCCAGCTGCATACCTGGACCAAAGGCACTTTATACTGAGTGTTTGAACGCCCAGCCCCTCTGAACCCACGACTCGGTCGGTACTAGCCAGCTAGACAAAGAACTCCCATGGTGCTGGCTGTCATGCCCTTTCAGCATTTAGGTTAGTGCAGTAGTCTGAAGGACCCTGCGAGTTCCGTATTCCCACTTCCCTTCCCTTTAGACTGGATCAGCCAGGTGTACCTGCCAGAAAACCATGCCCGGCTCAAAGCTGCCCACACCTATGTCACAGAGGAGCTCAGAGCCCTGGGGATCCCCTTCGTGAGCCGTGGTGCAGGCTTCTTCATCTGGGTTGACCTGAGAAAGGTAAATGGGGTGGAGGTGGAGGTGTGGGTGTCGGAGAATGTCAAGCCTCCACCTGGCAGGTGAGGGCGCTGGAGGGCCTCCTGCCTTCTGAGCTGCTTCCACCCTCCCAGTACCTGCGCAAAGGCACCTTTGAGGAGGAGGCATTGCTCTGGCGCCAGTTTTTGGACAACAAGGTGCTGCTGTCCTTCGGTAAGGCCTTCGAGTGCAAAGAACCCGGATGGTTCCGTGTGGTCTTCTCAGATAAGAAGAACCGGCTCTGTCTGGGTGAGCAGTCTCTGCCCCAGCCTCCCTCTCTGCAGCATCCTCCGAGGCCCCTCCTTCTGACCCCAGCAGCCCCCCGTTCTGACAGTTCCTCACTTCTTCTCAGGGATGCAAAGGATTCAGCAGGTGCTTGACAGGCAATCTCAAGAGGTCGAAGATGCTTCTCTCTGTCACTCTCAGGAGCCATGTAGCCAGCCCAGATGAGCTGGTCATTGCCTCTCAAGCAGCCACTGTCCCTGTCACCTGGCCATGTAAGGCCACAGAAGACTGTGTGGACGCACCATTTGTCGGTAGGATTCCCGACTTGGCTTTGGCCTTGAAGAACTGTTTCCTGCCCTCGCTGCTGGCAGTGGAGATTGTTTAAACTGATACTCTTCCCCGGGCGGTTGCTGCCGCCTCTTCAGTGGGCTTGAGATGAGCCGGATGACTGTGTTGTGAACAGTGCACAATGCGAGGAATCGTGACTGCTCGTAATCAGAGCTTCTTCCCACGCCACAAGAGTAAACAAGCAACTGTTCATTCTCTGTAATGCTGCCTTCCTGCCTCCTGTTGCCAGGGAAACAAGCCAGAGGAACAGTACCCCCCCCCCCCCACCACACTAACATCATAAAAAGGAATCTCATGTGCACTGTGCACTGCTTGTTTGTGGATTGCCTTATGCTATTTCCTTGCTTGGTCTGTAGATTGCCCATTTTTCTGTTTTGTTGTTTCTCTGTCATTGGTTAATTTTTCTGCTTTTTTTAGATTTTTTTATTTCCTCTCCTCATCTTGTACTCATTTGTAACTTATATGCTCTAATTTTCTCATGGCTGTTCTCCTAGGAATTATAACAGTTACAAACAACTTGTTAATAGAAAAGTCGTGTCTTGACTTTCCCTTTAGCATTTCGAGAGCCTTTGAAGACCCTTTATCCTTGGTGATCCCTGACTGTTCTTGTGGTCTATTTTCACTTTTGCCTTTCAGTTTTGACCCTGCAAAGTCTTGTTTTACACAGGTAATGTTTGCTTCAGTTGATCACAAACTCATCCCATGCGTCTGAGATTTCCATCTGGAATCTTCACAAGTCTTCTGTCTGGATTACAGCTCCTGGAGGTGGGGTGGGAAGAGTCTGCTAGTGACAAACTTTCAATCTCTGCTTGTCTGAGGATGCTCACTTTGCTCCCTTTCTGAAAGATGACTTAGCTGGTTATAGAATTCTGGGGTCAGTGGTTTTTGTCTGATTTCTGTTGTTCATGTTGCAGCTGCTTCTAAGATGACCTGCGTCCTTAATCCCATCCCATTTTCTCCATGCCTTTATTCTTTATTTTTTGAACTATTCTTTATTCTGAGAAATAGATCCCATGTGGTTATGGTCCATTATTTTTGAAGATAAAAGGAATTCCAATGGATAATATTATTTAGATTTTTTTTCTACGTGTCATAATTCTTTTACACATTTCTTAGGACTTTTTTTTTTTAAGACATCATCAGCTGGGTGTGGTGGCGCAGTCCTATATTCCCAGCGTTTGGGGATGCAGAGACAGGCGGATCTCTGTGAGTTCGAGGCCAGCCTGGTCTACAAAGTCCAGGAAAGCCAACACTGCACAGAGAAACCCTGTCTTGGAAAACAAAAAACAAACAACCAAACAACCAAACAAACAAGAAATCAAACAAAACAACCATTACCATTGGTCACATATAGTGTCTTCATCGCTATGTGAAGACACTGAATTATCTTTTTTTCTTTTTTTTTAAACAAGAAGTTTATTTAAACAACAAGAACCTTGACTTGAAGGGAAAACTATCCAGGATCATTTTGTTCAAGAGGAATTTACTGTACTTAAAGACGGATTGCTCTACATGTAACAGCTACATACAAAAAAGTTATAAAATTGTCCTTGGTTTTAAAATGATAAATGAAAAAAAAAACATTAAAATTCTCCAACGGAACAAGGCATGCAAGGATTTTGTGGTTAAAACAATGAGCTCAAATATCTAACTGGAATATAAAGATAAGGGCTGAACAAACATGACACTAATGGAGATAGGAGGCTATCACAGAACCAGTACTTTTCCCCAGATTATCTCCCTCTAATGTCAACCAAAACAGAACACTGGCCATTTGGTTTAAAAAAGAAAAAGAAAAGATGAGCAATATGCTTGTGCACATACACCAGTTACTTAAGTACAATAAAGAGATGGGGACAGGAGAATGAAAGAATAGAGAAAACCATACTATAGTTGTCACGATGTGGAACTAAATTGCAGCTTTCTAGTTGAGAATGTATTCTTGGTCTGTAATAAAATTCTGGAGTAAGCAGCAGGTTCCCTCTTTAGTAGACACTTCCTGCCTGCTGCTGGAACACATTAATCATATCTTTGTCCTCCATCTCCAGCTGTGCAGGTGTGTCTGTTTCACTGATCGGTTGCCCATCAAACTGGAATCTGGTCTGCCTCATGGGCAAACCCTGTCATTCACGATAGGCTTTCCTTAGTTTAGGAAGTGGTGTTGGCCTCTTAATCTTAAACCGCACCACAGAACCAGCCTTCCCACCACCTTCAAATTAATATGACTGTTGTTCTCAGTCTTGACTCCCTCCTTGGGTTTCTTGTTGGCCATGGCGAGTGCTGGCATCTCCTCAGCTGCCGCTTCACAGAGGCACCAGGTCCACCGTGAAGGAGCACACCTGAGCTGCACCAGGAGTGGCCACTGAAGTAACTTATCATCTCATTTTATGCACACGGTGTGTAATTCTTTCATCCGTGGCCCCCTTCATCAGCTCTGGAAAGTTATTAGCCTTTTCTGTCAAATATTGCTCTTCCCCCATTCTCCCTCTGTTGTAGTTACTTTTCTGGTGCTGAGTAAAAACATGATGACCAAGGTAACTTATAAAAGAAAGTGTTGAACTGGCCTTACAATTCCAGAGTATTAGAGCCTGTGATAGAGGAGCAAAGGCGGAGCAGCAGGGGTAGCTGAGAACCCACATTTTGATTCACAAGTAGGAGGCAGAGAGAGAGAGAGGAGAAAGCCAACTAGGAAAGTCCTCCTGAGGGACACACCTCTACCAGGACCACATCCTTCCCAAATAGCTTCACTAACTAGGGACCAAGCAGCCAACTATATGAGTCTGCGGAGGCCATTCTCATTTAAATGACTACAGCTTCTAGAGTCCTATTGACCACATGATAGACTGGCTGCCTCTGAGTCTGTCGCTGTCTTTTTCATGTTTTCCTTCTCTTGCTCTCTCTGAGTAATTTCTGTTTTACTTCATGCAATTTAATAATTCGTTTTTCTAGCTAGATATACTCTACCTTAATCTTTGAATTTTATGTTTAAAAAAGTATCTTTCTCCCTAAAGTAAAAAAGTTATTGTTTATAACATTTATAATTACTGAAACATGGTTGTTTTGTGTACTATATAGTCATCTCTGTGTAAACAGAGGATTGGGGCATGATTCTTTTTGGAATACTAAAATCTGTATAAAAATAAAATAGCTTCATATTTGTGTATAAATATGTATATTTATAAATATAAATAGGCACATCCCTCTGTAGGCTCTATTTTTATTAATTTAGTTTTTGAGATAAGAGTCCTCTCACCTTCAGTTTCTCCATGTTGTTAAAAAGATATATATATATGTTTATTTATTTATCATTGATAATATGTGAAGTCTCACTGCATGTCAGGGCACTTGATTTTATTTATCTCATTTTCTATGCAACGAATATGCACTATATATCTCAGGCTACCTCTAACTCAAGGGAAAACATGCCCAGTTTCCCTGTGTATGTGAATCATTTCTAGATTACATATAATACAAGTACAACAAAACATACTGTTTGAGCAGCTGTAGGTGTAAGAACTCTAGCGAGTCATTTAGCAAATATTCAGGGAAATACTACTACTAAAGATGTTCAGGGTGTCTGTCCATTTACAAAATTTGTAATAGCTCAATCTTACACTTTCTTGCTTCTCATAATTTGTGTGGTTTTTGTACTTAGAAGTGTAGCTGCACAGTTTCAACTGTGCCGGGTGGTAGGACGTTTGCTTTTCCTATTGCTGCTTCTTTCATACAGGACTTTGATACATACAAAATTTTCTTTTTCTCTTTCTGGCTCTTCAGCATCTGTCAAAATTCTAAATGTTCTCCAGGATAACAAAAGTATGCCCCTCCCTCTCTCTGGAGACAAGAGTCTCCAACAAGCTGTCTGCAAACTCATCATCCTCCTGCCTCAGCCTCCCAAATGCTAGGACTACAGGAGTGAGCCACCACATCTCTGATCTTAGATCTTTCCAGCAGCAGGTGACCTGTTTCCTCCCTAGCCTGAAGCATTATCCCTATGTCCTTCTCTGTTACTTTCCACTCTCTGCTTTAGGTAACTTCACTTGTACATTTATCTTATTCCTAGGTATCTCTTCCATGAACCTTGCACACTTTATTCACTCAACAAACACTGAACACTTGCCATTTTCCAGACACTGTGTAAGCTTAAGGCTATAAATTGTGACCAAGATACTTGCTTAACACAATTCTGCAACACAGTAAATTTTCATTTAATGCTAGTATGTATAAAACACTTAAAATATATTTTAAAATACATGTAAATACAAAGGAAGCAGATAATAAGGAAGACAAAAATCTCCAGTGCAGATACATACTGTTGACCGTGGATTGGAGAGATGGCTCCGTGGCTAAGAGCATTTGCTACTCTTTCAGAGGATCCAAGTTTGAGTCTTAGCACCCTGTAGCTTCATCTCTGGCCTCTGCCTGTACCTTCATGCAATTCTCTCACACATTGAGATGAATACATTAAAAAAAAAAACCTTAAAATTTCCCTTTTTAAAAAGATACAAGCCAGTGCTCAGTGAAATGCCAGGAATTTGGCTGTGGTACCATTGGCTATTGGTCCTGGTGTCACCCATCCAGTTCTCAAGTGGGTGGGTGTATGCTGAGTTCAGTAATGTGTGTGTGTGTGTGTGTGTGTGTGTGTGTGTGTGTGTGTGTTTGAAGCACACAGCCACATTCTGTTAGATGTTGGGAAGAAGAACGTGGGCAGAAGATTCTGTCCCTAGATTTTTCTTGTTCCAATCTCCAATCTCTATTGGATTGGACAGGATACATTAACTCCAAAATACCGGCACTGGAATCATGGCTGGTGAGGAAAGTGTTCACAGGTTTCCAGACAAGCTGTAAACAACAATGTCCACTAGGTGGCGCTGAAGTAAATCAGGACCAGAATGTATTCGCATTCCGTGGCCAGACCAAGAACTACGGCCAGCAATGTCAAACCCGGCTAGGTGTCTTCCTTAGCCTCTCAGCAACACCACACAGCTTTCTGCTATTTTACATTTGTTGCCTTGTGACAGATGCTACTACGCATGCGATAATTTCTGCTTCTACAATTACTTCCAAAATTGTTATAATTGCTTCTTGGATTTTTTTCCCCCCAAGCATCTGCTTACACATTTTTTTTCTCTTTTGTTTTTGCGCAAGCACATTTTACCTACAATTGTTCGTTGCTTTCCCCTTGCTAAGGGACCTTGGCTTCTCATTAGCTTGGCTTGGAGATACTACCTAGCTGGCAGTTATGTCTTCCCTCTTTTTGTTCCCTGATTGTGTCCTACAGTTTACTTTCGTTGCTCTCGGTGTCTGGCTATTATTAGAAACAGTGTGGTGAACGTTTTTTATAAGTGGTGAGAGTTTCCGCAGGGTAAATGACTACTTAGAAGGTTGGTTGGAATTGAGGGTCCAAGGCGTTTTTTACACCCAGATGGATACTGCCTAATCGCCCTGTGGGCATAAAAATGCTTTGTAGAGTTGGAAGTAGTCGCACTATGTAGCCCAGGCTAGTTTCGAATTAGTGGGTGAGCCTCCTGCTTTTCTGGGATTACAGGTATAAACTACCACGCCCCACCGAAATGCTTGCGTTTTTTGACAGTTTGGCTGTCCCTTCTGGGCATGCTTTTGCACCGGGGCGGGGTTGCTCAAGTGTGCTGGCTCCTCCTGTCCAGCAGGGGGCGCGGCGCTATCGCTCCGCATGCGCAGTGCTCGCTGTGTCAGCCGCCGGGAGCTCTACAGAGCCCGGCGCCGCTTTCCCCGCTGGCGGCGGCGGACCCGGTGCTGGCGGCGGCTCCCCGTCACCACGCAATCCGACACCAGCAGCCGTGGCTCGCGGCCCGCGGCAGAAGCCGGTGACGGAGCGCGGGGCCGAGCGGGAGGCGGCCGGTTCCGAGGTGAGCGCGGCTCGCGGGCCGGCCGGAAGGGCCTCGGGGCTGGGCCTCTAGGAGCTCCGGGGCTGCCGGAGCGCCGCGGCACTGCACCGCCTCCCCACCGGTGCCCTCTCCCCTGGGCCTGCCCGCCTGTCCAGGACTTCTGCCTCCTGCTACAACCCGGCGTTGCAGGACCTGAGTCCTCCCAGGGAGGCCTTGCACCTTGGTTCTCCCGGGCCGGTGGCTTTTAGTGCAGGTCCCGAGCGGGACGCGGTGGGCGGGGGGGGGGGGGGGGGGGGGGGGGGGGGGGGGGGGGGGGGGGGGGGGCGTGAGCTCAGGGTAGTTGGGAGATGCGTTGAGAACGGTGTCCAGTTCTGAGAGTCAAATAATGGTTTGGCGTCGCTTATTAAGTGCCAGTCTAGAAGGGCCTTACCGAAAAACTTGTTGCTCTGTGGATGTTGTCTTGCAGCCTAGACAGGTCCAGTTCTTTTAAGTCAACCTTATGTTCTAAGTCCTTTAACTGAACTTTGTGTGTTCCAGAGCTCAAGGCTGTTCACGGCAATAACATACACGGTTGAGTTTTTATTGCAATCACTTTCCCAGACTCAAGCATTCTGGTTGCACTAGCCTATCCCCCTTGGGGACTTGTGGAACTCTGTTGTGGAACCCTTGCGGTTCCTACTTTTGCTGTTAACCTTTCTCCACCACACCGAGGTTCAGAACTTTGGTACACAGCGCTGTCAGGAGGATGAAATGAGACATAGTAAAAGCACATGCGCTCAGCTAGGCACTTAATGTATTCACTGTGATAAAACTGCCATAGTCAAACAGTATCTTTATGTTGGAAACCCTTTTTAGAGGTAGCGAGCCACACTGGAACTTTATAAGCCTGGCAGGCAAGGCTGTGCTTTGTGAGTTTGTATCTGTTTGCCTACTTTGTTTTCAGAGGAGGTAGGCCAAGTTCGGGTTTAGTAGTGGCCTTGGGAGTTCAGCAGGCAGGACATCCCCGAAAAGGCTAAGATGACAAGAAATGGTGACTTAGAACGTTGGGCTGAGTGGATTGGCTGTAACCTGGAGCTCAGAAGAAAGGTGTTTCAGGCAGTGTTAGGAATGACCAGTTCCAGGAACTGCGAGTGTGTCTCACCCTGCTGGTAGATGGGTGTTAGAGTCATTTCCAGTGACTCAGTGTTCCACCACTGGAAGAATGGTTTCACATTTTTTTTTTTTTTTTTTTGAGGGGGAGGAAGTTTGATGGGTTTGAAGAATGATCATTTTATAGGGCCTGCATTGAAATTCTTGTTTTGATCCAGGTCATGGCATGAAACTGGGCAGTCAGGAGAAATAGGATTCAGCCTAGGTGGACACTTTAAGTAGGATTCAGCGCAGGTTTTTCCCGGATGGGGCACGAGGGTGTAGCTCAGCTGTTAGAGTCCCCAGCCTGCATGAGGCTGTGGATTGGATCTTTGTTGCCCCATGAACTGGGGTGGGGGTGCACGCCTGTAACCCCAGTACTCAGGAGGTGAGAGCAGGGTGACAAGGTTCCCCATCTAGTTCCTGACCGATCTGGGCTGTCGGAGATGCTCGACACAAACAGAGAACAAAACAAAACCATCATAGCAAGTGTTCATTCCTTCGTTCATTCGTTCGTTCATTCATTCATTCACCCACCCAGCCATCGTTCAGGTTGAGATTCAGTATGTTCTACGCTTGACACTGGATGTTGAGAATACTGCTAAGACTCTGCGAGAGGTCACACCAGCAGAGCAGACAGGCTGGCAGGCACCTCTCTCAGGAAGTGTTGCAGCATCAGGTGATGCTCACAGGGAAGGCCTCCCCCACTGTAATTCATTAATTACTATATTAGCTTTTTTTTTTTTTTTTTAATATGTGAGTGTTTCGCTTGCTTGCCTGCATGCTTGTGAACCATGCGTGCGGTACTTGAGGAGGCCAGAGAGAATGTCAAGATTCCCCGTAGCTGAAGTTGCAGATGGTTGTGAGTCTCCATGTGGGCGCTGAGAACCTCACCCCGGGGTCCTATGGAAGAGCAGCAGGTGCCCTTAACTTCCAAGCCATCTCTCCAGCCTCCTCTACAACAACAACTACAACAACAACTGTGTTCCTGGGATGCTAGCTAGGACTAGGCCATGCTCAGCCACTGAGATGTAGCCCTATTGCCATTTGCCCCAGTTTCTTGTATTTTGAGTGTGTGTTTGGGCCTGTCACAGCCTCAGCTTTATTCCACAGGATTTGCTGTAGGTGTTGGGTATTGAACTAGCCTGAGAAGGCTTCCTTAAGGCAGGAGGTGTGCACGTGTCTGGGCTGGCTTTGGGCTGTCATGTCTCAGCTCCCTGTTAGTTGAGGTGGTCCTGAGGTGTGCTCTCAATGAACCTCCCGAAGCCTGTAGCAGAACTACGTGGTTTGCCCAGGTCGGTGTTTTAGCCAGCTCCATCATCACCATTCCCTCTTCTGGCTCCTATCTCTGGTTTTCTGGAGTTCCTCCTGCCAGCCGCTTATGCTCACGTTTCTTTTCTTAGTTTGGCAGAGCACAGACCATGCTACTCCATCTAGAAGTAGCCTGCAAGCACCCCGAGCACATGTCCTGGGACCCACCTCCTCACCTTCAGATGGCAGCCAGGACCCCCTTCACCAGTGTAAAGCAAGGTGTCAGTAACACCTGTACTCTAGTCTAACAGTTGTAGGACTCCTACTGTGGCAGCTTGGCGAGAGATCCAGGCAGGAGTGAGGTAGCCCCAGCAAGTTAGCTGTAGCTCTTGAGTGTGTATGGTCTGTGGTGATGGAAGGATAAGTGGCATTGGTTGCCTCTTGGCATCTCCCTTAGAAGCCTTCATATCAGAGAATGCTAGGTTCTGGGCAGCCGGATGCTAACTCAGGGCACACTGTGAACCATGGAGGTTCCATGGCAGCATGCCATGCAACTGGGAGCTGATGTGAAGCAATTGATTCTGAAGCAGATGGTACTGAGGCAGTTATGATCTGTGTAATGGCTGCCCACATGGGAGAGTTATCTAACTCAGAATGTTAGAATCCGTAGCCAGAAACTATGCAGGATGGGTAATCAGGACTGCTGTGGTAGAGTGTTGAAGAGGGAACTTGAAGTTCAGGGAGGCAGATAGCTTAAGGAGGCTTATTCCTTGAGGCCAGAGATAATACCACTTGCTCAGCCTCTGAGGGAGTCCACTCTCTTCACTCTGATAACACGGAATGGCCAAGTATTACCATTCTCAAAGGGGCTGGCCCCTTCGAGAAGCAAGCTCACCTTTGGCCAGGACTGGCTTTCATGCTGCCACGGAAATGTGTTCCCAAGTTCCCATTTTGTAGGCTGCCATTTTCTCCTTTTGACAGTGCCCTTTGCTTTGCAGAAGCTTTTCAGTTTCACGTGGCACCATTTATTATTGTTGATCTTAGTGCCTCCGCTATTGGTGTTCTGTTCAGAAAGTTGTCTCCTGTGCCAGTGTGTTCAAGGCTCTTCCCCACTTTCTGATGTATCAGGTCCAATGTATCTGGTTTTATGTTGAGGTCTTTGATACACTTGGACTTGAGTTTTGCGCAGGATGAAAGTGTGTATCTATTTGTATTCTTTTACAAGCAGACATCTGGTTTGACCACATCATTTGTTGAAGTGTGTATTTCTGGCTTCTTTATCAATAATTAGGTGTTCATAGGTGTGTGAATTTATGTCTTGGTTTTCAATTTGAATTCACTGACCAACGTGTCTTTTTATGCTATTACCATGCAGTTTTTATCACTATAGCTGTGTAGTACAACTTGAAATCAGGGATGGTGATACCTCCAGCAGTTCTTTTATTGTTCAGGATTGTTTTTAGCTATCCTGGCTTCTTTTCTTTTTCTCCCATGTTAAGTTGAGAATTGTCCTTTTAAGGTCTGTAAACAATTGTGTTGGAATTTTGATGTCAATTGCATTGAATCTTTTGGTAGGATGGTCAGTTTTACTATTTTTTTTTTAAAGATTTATTAACTTATTATTTATATAATATTCTGCTTGCATGTGTGCCTACACACCAGAGAGGGCACCAGATCTCACTATAGATGGTTGTGAGCCACCATGTAGTTGCTGGGAATTGAACTCAGGACCTCTGGAAGAGTAGCCAGTGCTCTTAACCTCTGAGCCATTTTTTCCAGCCCCAGTTTTACTATGTTAATCCCACTGAACCATGAGCATGGGAGATGTTTCCATTTTCTGTTATCTTCTTCAGTTTCTTTCTTCAAAGACTTGAAGCTTTTATCATACAAGTCTTTCACTTGCTTGGTTAGAGTGACCCCAAGATATTTTTTATTATTTGAGGATATTGTGAAGGGTGATGTTGCCCTGATTTTTTTCTCAGTCCATTTGTCATTTTATATAGGAGGGCTGTTGATTTTTTTTGAGTTAATCTTTTATTCATCCACTCTGCTGAAAGGGTTTATCAGGAGTTTCCAAGTGGAATTTTCTGGGTCACTTACATATACTATCATATAATCTGTAAATAAAGTTACTTTGACTTCTTCCTTTCCAATTTGTGTCCCCTTGATATTCTTCTGTTTTCTTACTGTTCTAGCTAAGACTTCAAGCACTATTTGAATAGATTTAGAGAGAGTGGACAACTTTGTCTTGTTTCTGATTTTAGTGGAATTGCTTTGAGTTTCTCTCCATTTAGGTTGATGTTGGCTATAGACTTGTTGTAAATCACCTTTATTATGTTTAGGTATGTCCCTTGTATCCTTGATCTCTCCAGAACTTTAATCATGAAGGAGTGTTAGGTTATGTTAGCGGCTTTTTCCACATCTAATGAGGTGATCATGTGGATTTTTTTTTCAATTTTTTTTATATAGTAGATTACATTTACCGGTTGTTGTATGTTGAACCATCCCTGCATCGCTGGGATGAAGTCTCCTTGATTATGGTGATGATCTTTTTGATGTGTTCTTGAGTTTGGTTTGCAAGTATTTTATTGAGTATTTTTGCATCTATGTTTATAAGGGAAATGGGTCTATAATTCTCTTTC